TTCCCTCCTCCTTTTTCTCGGTCGAACGGAGGACGCCCCCTGCGCCTCCCCAGCTGGATCCGCTTATGGCTTTTCAATGGCATATTATCACACTACGTTTGACACGCGTGGTTCAATTCATCCAAAGAAAAAGGTGGTTCCGCAGGATTTTTGTATACTTTGGTGAAATTAGCGAAACTCAGTTTTTTGCACTTTGACTGCCATCAGTCGATCTTTTTCGAACTGGACGATTGAATTTGCTTTTTTAGGTCTCGATAGACAATCAAATTCCCGAACCAATTACCATCAAAGTGTCGGGAGTTATCAGTCTTAAACTCGTTAATTTGCCTAATTTTAAAATGAAAACTTGGCAGAAATGTTTCCTGAGACAGGAAATGATGACTGGTGGCACTCAATTCTGATCTTACTATGAACAAAATAGTGCGGCCCGTCAAAATTCGATGGTAGATGGTGACCATCAGTCATCAACATTACTAAGATCGGAATTTGATCGTCTATCCAGGGCTTAAATTTCAGAGGATTAAATTTTTCATCAATTAATTCTCTGTCGAAAATTCGTCGAAAGCCGCTTCTCCGTGGCATACGCAACTTACCCATCGCAACCTTTTTTTCGCCCCATCAAAGCTCCATCTCTGCCAGTCCGTTTCGGCGGCGCTGAACTTTTGCTTGACTCACGAGCCAGGTATTTCAGCAGCGATGTTGCCATTGCGCTGAAAATCCTTAATTTTAAATCGATTTCTATCGAGGATTTCTAGTATCGGAGGGAGTCGTGGCAACCGCATGTGCACTGTGCAGTCTGCTCATTTGGTTCGATGCAGCGGTGGCTTGCACTCTTGCACTCTTGCGCAGGCGCAGTGCCGGCTCCAGAACCCCTCCTCCTCCCACTTGCCAAATAGTACATAGTATACATATAGATTACCGGTGCAGCATGACAATGCAACCATTTGCAATTGTTTTTCAATTGCTGACTGCAGTCATTATATCCAAGATCTAGATCTCACTATGTAGCTCATCCATCACGCAGGGAAAGTTTGAATGCTAAGGTTTGTGCCAGTAAAATGCAAGAAGATGGTTTTTGTACGTTCCTTTTTTTGAAGTATTTCGAGCCGGCGGCTGTAGAATGATGGTTGATTATTTCTCAATTTGTTTTTTTGTTTTTTTTTCCTGATTTCAATTTTTGTGGAGGGTTCTCATCCATCATATGAAATGTCAAAGTCCTGTGCAGACTGGCTTTTTAAACTCTGTCAGTCTGTCTAAACTGATAAGGACGCGATAAATCTTGATTGAAATAGGCCTTATGGAGGTATTTGGTTGCTTGGATCACGTGATATGTAGCGCCTTTATCGGGTAAAATTAGCAGTTCGTTAAACGTTGTGGAATGTAAACCGAACTGGGCAAGAGGTACTGATAGCTCTTCGTAGATGCAATTCGATAAAAGTACGATAAAAAAGTATAAAAAAGAAAAACCTTGATCTTACAGCCAATAACCGGACTTAATTTCAGTCTTATTTTATTGCGATCCAACGACCAGCCTGTCAGTAATCAACCCGTAAACATAATTTTGGCGAACTAATTCCACTTAAAAAGACAGAAACTCAGAATGAAAAGGGTGATAGAAGGACAGGAATGCAAATATTTTCTCAACAACAACCATTCCTGAGATAACTCGACGGGTATACCTCTTCATTCTGTTGAAGTTTAAAATAACAAAGTCTTTCTTATGAGTATAATTGAAGCGCTGGGTGCAGATAAAGCATTTCTTGGTTGCGGTGTCTCAGGATCTCCGTTGACGTATCACTCACTATGATTAAAGCAAATGTGTGGAATTCGATGAAAACTTTACTGAATTTTCAATATGATTTTAAACTTCTGGAAACTAAAAATTTCAGAAAATTCACCCAATAGTTTCCTTTAAAACATTGATTAGTAGTGGAGGTTCTGAAACACCGCAAGTAAGAAATGCCCTTTCTGCATCCAACGACTCAATTTGGCACGAATTATCTGTCGTCACCTTCCGGCCAAAGTATCACAAGCGCCATGCGACGTTTAAAAATTTTCGCCGCCTTTTTATTTTTTTTACAGAGAAATTGTTGGTTAAACCCGTTTGAAAATTTCACTGAATTTTATCGGCAACACATAGCAAATTCAGTAAAATTTTCGGACAGCTTCGTCGAAATATTTCTCTGTAAAAAATAAAATGGCTCAAATGGCTGCGGTAATTTTTAAACGTCGCATGGCGCTTGTGTTACTTTGGCCGGAAGGTGACGCAGTGTGGATCGATAAGTTGATAGAAGAAGGCGCTTTGAAAAAGCTGTGATGTAGGACTATCCTGGTGGCTAGTGACCGAGGCAATGGACGGATAATTGCGACATTTCCCGGGAAACGGCGATCTGGCAACGCAGAGCGGGTATTGCTCAATGCTCGTCGGCCGGCCGCACTCCTCGATTCCTCAAATTAGCCGGGATTTCTTCATCTCTGCATCCAGTCTATCCCACTGTGTCGCAGTTTATCCCGTGTCGCACTCCGCGTCTCCACTGTTGCCACTTCCATGCCCTAAAACTCGAATTACCCAAGTGCATCCTGAGAGGCCCGACCTAGGGTAATAACCTAGAGTTAAAATCGGGTGCTCGCCCGTCTCTTCGTGGCATTGTTGGGGACAGAGACAAGAGACCCTCCACTGGTATCTTGGCAACACTGGAAAAAAACACATTGGATCTAGAGTCCAGACTCTTGAAAACATTAACAAGAAAATATACTCTTGATTCAATCGGATTTTTGCTTGAATCAAAACGAAATCCGCTTAAATTAAGAGGCTTGGTTCTTGACTTAAGCTAGATTCTGATTGAATCAAGAGTACTTTTTCTCGTCGATGTTTTTAAGAGTCTGGACTCTAGATCTAATGTGTTTTTTTTCCAGTGAATGGTGGAAGCTCTTACTTTCGGGACTTCAGTATTCTACTGTTGACTTACCTATATGGTTGTTGTTTAACAACGTGGTGGCAGTTTCGTTTTGCAAACAAGCCGAAAATGGCCGAAGTTTGGGAAACTTGTTCGGCTCATGACGTCACCCGAAGCTCCACTATGACCACCCTAGAGATCCACTATGTAGGTAGGTCAACAGCCGAAATTATGGTGATGACTGTTGCTCCCTTATAAATGTCCATAAGGAATTGTTGAATCCCCGAAAGTAAAAGCTTCATCCTGTCGGCAAGAGGCCAGTGGAGGGTCTCATCTCTCTGGTTGGGGATTTCTGGTCGATTTTCTTGAAAAATCGATTAAATAGCATATTTTTTATTGGGCTCGATTAATCTGTTAATTCGATTTTTTCCTTTCGAATCGAAGATTCCAATTTTTCCAGTTTGCGCCTTAAAATAATCCGAGTTTAAAGTTCCCATATGTTTTAAATTTCTTTTAATTTTTCTATTTTAAACGCATTTTTCTCGAAATTGCACCGATGTCTTCTGACATTTTCATCCGCACTGCACACTGGGAAAAAACTGTCATTAAAATAATCGACTTAGTTGTATTCCATCCAACTCCCAGGTAGCCATGACCAAAAATTTTGATATTTATTACCATAAATTGATAATTTTACCAATACGTCTGTAAAATTATATTTTAATGGTAAAAATATCACTATTTTTGGTAAAAGCTACCATTGAGCCGAAGCTCACACGGTACCACCCCAATTTGGTCATTTTAAAAATCAATAATCGATGAGTTGCTCCATGTTCAGTACTCCCAATCATTTCCGTGATTTCGGTACAATTCAATTTACAATCAGGCCCGATCGGACATATTCGGCGAGAGGAGCTTTTTTTCATGTCCATTCATGGACACGAGTATGGAAGATGATGCGCTGTTATCAACACGGGGGTCATGCTCGAGTGTGACATCGTTGCCAGATCTCCGGATCGGAGTTTTCGTTCTCACAGAGGTAAAGAAGCCACGGAGTAAATTCGCCAACGATGGCGTTAGATAATGCAGCCGTTCGGCTTATCTTCGCCTCATTGAACCCGGGGTTCAGGGACCCCGCCCCACCCCGGCCCCCCTTCTTTTCGTCTTTTTTCGCCGCGGATCTCCGCTCGAGCGAGCGCTGCGTCGGCCGTTTTTTGCACTAATTTGCGAGATGCCTCAGGTGATTCGGGCTAGGGTCGAACTGGCATGCGATACACATATTTGGATCAAAATCCTCTTAAATTTTGACTTCCAAACAAAAACGAACGACGATAGTTCCACGCATGAAATCAAGCGTTGTTAGAACAGGGGTTGATATTGAAATTGATAGACAAAGCTAGAGACAAAGAAGACGTAGGGCAGGGAGCGTAGAGCGACCCTATTGGTTGAAACGGATGATTCTCATAAATTAAGCGGGAAAAGATCAAAATTAAATGTAGGGTCCCTGTCCCTGTAGGGTTAACTGTGTCTCTTGCTGGTTGCCGTTAGTTAGTCTGTTACTAACCTCCTTTGTCCATTCCAACCATCCATTTCAACCAATAGGATCGCCTCATTTTCCCACTGTCTCTTATGTCTATCGCTTTATCTATCAATTTCAAAAATCAACCCCCATCAAGGCAAGTTCTTGAAAATCTGGAAAAGTCAGGGATTTCGCCCAACCCTGAAAAGTCGAAGAAATTTCGCTGCGGAACCCAAAAATTCTCTCTCTAAGCTGAGACGTTTCATTTATACGCGCTAATCTGACCGCGGCTGTAACAGTATGGGCAAGAAAAGCCAAAACGCCTTCAATTTTTGGTATATGCAACGCAGATAGCCCTGGAACACGAATAGTTGCATCTAGGCGATGTCATCAATATTGCCGCAACTTCGTGTCCAACGGCAGGAATATCAACGGATAGTGATGTTTTATAATGCGCATTTGGAAATTAAAATTTGGCACTTGTTTTTCTTCTTCTTCTTGTTTTCATTCCTGTAAACTCATGGCAATAGACCATTTACTTATTCATCCTGTATTAATGAAATCTTGTTTTATTTCTGTTGCAGATGTGAAAACTATTTTGAAGTCGGTGAGTGGCCGACTGCGGTCTGGCGAGTTGACCGCCATCATGGGACCCTCAGGCGCCGGCAAATCCACCCTTCTGAATATTCTCACAGGTTACAAGTAAGTTATCTCCCCATTCTACCACCTTCTAGTCAGGGCCGGATTTAGGGGGTGGCCACATGGGCCGCGGCTCATGGCGGCAAATTTTGCAATTTTTTTTTAAATTTAGGTGTAAAAATAATTACAAACGAAAAAAGACAACTAAATCTTTTATTTCCTGTGAGTATAGTAATAGACCACTAGACAAGGTACGAATGGACCACTAGATAAGGTACGAATTTCAGCATTCTGATACATGTTTCTCAACCAAAATTTTACGTAAAACACGATGCACACAACAAAAATTACCGAAATTAACTCCTTACGAAGATATTTAATGATTCTTAATGCGTGAATTCAAACCACCCGCTCATGAAAACTCAATGCTCTACGTGATTCACATCGCGCGCTAAACGTTATCATGACAGTCTCTGCGATATAAAAATCTGACAACCTCTATCTTGACACGTTGGCTCAGCCATAGCAAATTACTTATAATTTGAAAAACACATGGTGGGAAATGAGCATTGCTCTATTGAGAAGCTTGCTGAAATCGTTGTAGTGCGCGATTTGACTCACGTAGAGCTTTGAGTTTCTTGTGAGCGGGCAGTTTGGATTCCTCGTGACCAATGTGAAATAAAAATGTTATTATCTCCGTTAGGAGTTGATTCCATTAATTTTCGTTGCGCGAATCGTGTTCTACGTGAAATTCTGGTTAAGATACATGTATCAGAATGCTTAAATTCGTCCCTTGTCTAGTGGTCCATTTCAGCATTCTAATACTTTGTTCTTAACTAAAATTTCACGTAAAACACTCTGCGCACAACGAAAATTACCGAAATCAACTCTTTCAAAAGATATTCAATGATTCTTGACGCGTGAATTCAAACCACCCGCTCATAAAAACTCAATGCTCTACGTGACTCACATCGCGCGCTAAACGCTTATCATGACAGTCTCTGCGATATAAAAATCTGGCAACCTCGATCTTGACGTTTTGGCTCAGCTATAGCAAGTTGCTTATAGTTTGAACAACACATGGTGGGAAATGAACATAACTCGATTGAGTGCTTGTTGAAACCATTGTAGTGTTCGATTTGACTCACGTAGAGCTTTGAGTTTCTTGTCAGTGGGGGCAGTTCAAATTCCTCGCAACCAATATGAAATAAAAACGCAAATATCTTCATTAGGAGTTGGTTTCAGCAATTTTCGTTGCGCGAATCGTGTTTTACGTGAAATTCTGGTTTAGGAACATATATCAGAATGCTTAAATTCGTGCCTTGTCTAGTGGTCCATTGCTAACTTTGTCATTTTGCGGTGATACAAGAGACTGCACCTCTTAGTAGTCGAGTTATGAGAGAAACCAAACACGTAATTTGGCCTGGAGCGGTGCGGCGGAGAGAGCAATGATGACGAGGACTTGAGATGAAAAGGAGACGCCCTCGCCTCGGCGCGGCGGTCGGCATGTTACGCATATTAGCGCCTACAAGACTGCATGAATACTTCACGCATTGCGTCAAACACAGTGCGTTCAGCAGCGGTCGTCGTGAAACGCACAGCGCCTACAAGACTGCATGAATACTTCACGCATAGCGTCAAACACAACGCGGTCAAGCAGCGGTCGACGCGACGTGGCATAGCGCCTACAAGACTGCATGAATACTTCACGCATTGCGTCAAACACAGTGCGTTCTGCAGCGGTCGGCGTGAAATGCATAGCGCCTACAAGACTGTAGGAATACTTCACACATTGCGCCAAACATAGTGCGATAATATGTTTGTTCTTTCATAATTTTTTCGTTCATTTCTTATAAATGGAAAGCCTTGTCCTCTCAGATAGGTTTACGGAGCTTAATTTACGCGCCAAGTTCTGTGAATTTTTGCAGGTGGTGTTGATAGTGCTTTCGTAAAAAATGTGTCCAATACGAGTAAGTGCGTCCTATGCACCCCTCTTCCTCCGACACGATCACTTGCTGGTTTTTATTGATGTTTCAAAACGAATGAGAAGGGGGTGGCAAAATACAGGCGGCCCATGGGCGGCAAGTAGGTGAATCCGGCCCTGCTTCTAGTGATTATAGAAGATTCTAAAATTACTCTCAAAACACGTCCGTTTGCGATGTTGCGGACTTCTTGTCATACTTCATTTTTTAAAATTCGACTGCATTTTTGCAATAGGAACTACAATTTTTGGCTCAGTTTAAGAACAAAGAATGTATCATTTGCGTCCCTATGCTTATAAGTGTTTTTACAGATGCATCAGATACTCTAGTTCCCAGTTGCAAATGTCTAAATAGAAAACTCCTCTACTCCAGTTCTTCAAAATTTAATCTGTGCGTTTTCTTCTCTATGCGAAAAAAATTCCATATAAACTTCAAGAAATAATGCTAATAAATTCGCAATTTGGATCTACAATTTCTGACTCAGTTTAGAAACGACGTATGTACCATTAGTTTCCAATGCACATAAGTAATTTTACAGATGGGCTGGAAATTGTAGGTAATCCGAATTGCGAAATGTAGTGCAATTTGTTCCCTTTTAAAAAAATAGGATGGAAGGGGATATTTTGAAACGCCGTAATCGTTCTCCATTTGCTCCAGATGCTTTGCTGGTTTTGAAGGTGATGACTTCTTGATGCATTTTTTTACTCCTGCAGGTGTCACTAAAGAAAACTATCGGATTAAAATGTGTAAACTTCCTTAATTCATTTCTTTTTGTGTCGTTGTGTTCAGGACAACAGGCACTCAAGGTTCAATCACAATGAATGGTCATGAGAGGAATCTGAGTCAATTCCGAAAGCTGTCATGTTACATCATGCAAGACAACCAGCTTCATGCCAACCTCTCTGTGGAGGAAGCCATGAATGTTGCAACAGCGCTGAAATTAGGCAAAGATGTCAGCAGAGCCAGCAGACAAAATGTTGTATGTATTCTTTTAAGCAACTTTTTTTTCCCAATGGAATGAAAGATGTCCCACCAAAGGATCCACAAGGATCAAAGGATCCAGGATTTTGTTCTTAAAATGTTCAAATTATTTTAGTCCAGTGTGCCGTTGTCAATAGAGAGGAAAATGGTCAATTTTTCAACTTATTCATATGAAGTTTTTCATAAATCTCCTTATTGGTTGCATTGGCAACCATCCTCTGGATGTAGTGGCACGTCCAATGATCTATTTCAGAGATTAGTAACTCGTAAGAGTTATTCTGTCAGAAAGAAAGCAATGAATGTCTTCTTTCAAGCCTGTCTGTTCTTTATGGTATGTAATATAACTTTTTATGTGCTTGATTAAATCAGTGTTGTGTGCATTTCATCCCAAAGTAAAATAGCTGATTTTAATTATTTTCCTGCAATGGTCATTAAAGGCATCAAAGATTAATAGATTTACAATTTTTAAGAGGCTTTCTCTCAAAGAAAAATTCAAATCGTATTTGGCTCCCAGTTGCAGAAAAATAGTATGTCATTACTCCTCAATTATCCTTATATATTCCCTCTGAACCTTTTTTATTACAAAGGCTCAGCTGTATGTATCATGAGAATGTATTACAATGGTCAAGTACATATTATAACTCTATAGATTCACATAAACAAGAAAAAAAATACTAAATATGTGGCCCGATCTGTGAGTAACAAGGTGGTAGAACAGTGATGGGTCCACACTATTCCAATGCACTGCCCGAGTTGAACACTCCTTCGCAGTCCTGCATCGAAACTCATTAGAATTCAAATTTTTTAATCTAATGAAAATTTTTGGAACTATTTTTTGGCCTTGTTTCCCCCCCTCTAGAACAGTATGGTTCTAGCACTATTCTACCACTTTGATTCCTACAAAGAAATTTCTTTGGCCCAACCCAGGTATATTTCCAATTATTTTACCATAAGCAGTTGGAGCCCAACTCAATAGAGTCATTACCCAGCACTACTCGTATTCTGCAACTATGATCGTAATCGTGGATTGTAAACAACAAGGATTGAAACTAAGTAATATTTATTCCAAGGTAGCCCAGTCCACATTGAATTTCATAAAAGTGTGTTTTTATTATTAAATTTTGATCTCTGTGGCATTCTTTTTTTTCAGATTCAAGAAATTTTGGAGACTTTGGGTCTTCAAGAGCACTGTAAAACCATGACAAGCAATTTGTCGGGAGGTCAAAAGAAACGTTTATCCGTAGCTTTGGAGTTAGTCAACAACCCTCCTATTATGTTCTTTGATGAACCCACCAGGTAATTATAGCTTTCAACAAATGATACTTTGTCCTCTGGAACTCTAAAAATTGAAAACATTTAGTCTTATACCGAATTCCAAGCGCAACAACAAATATTTTGCCCTTCAGTTCTCAGTTCTTTAGGATTAGTATGTCTCATCACCGCTATTCTACTGAATATCTCCATGCTAGCAGGTTGATTGTTGAAATGTTGTGCTCACCTGCTAGGCCAGACAAGAAAATGATGACAGTGAATTACCTGATTGATCAGTTGCCGTGCTTGTGTTCTTTGTTGTGCATTTATCAAGCCAGATAAATACCAAACTGAAGGCTTCTTCTTGGTGGCCAGTAACCGCTGGATTATTTGGCCCAATGAAAACATGACAAAGAAAAAAAAGCTTGGTGACCGACGAATTACATGACTTAGTCTTGTCATGAGTAGACACACATGAAGTCTCAAAAATCGGTCCGCAAGGCTTTCGTGGTGCAGCTCAATAATTTCCTTGCTAAATGGCGCACAAATTTTGCTGCAAGCCACTTCTACAGCTCATCCAATTTCCGGGATGTTTGTATAACCCTTATATGAGTAAAAGCAGAAATTCAGGAGACTGCCTCGGTCTGACAATGGAATTAACCAGTCCTAAAACTAGTTGCTCTCAATTGATTTCCTGATCAGTCATAACCAGTGTGCTCAAATGAGCTCATTCCCTCCATCATGAGAATAATCACTTTTATATCAAAATATTTGAGGAATGGCATAAAACAACTTTTGTTAATTTTGAATATGTATTGTATGTAACTGCTTCTGTTCTGTGAACCTCTTATTTTAAAATTAGCTGCAATTTTCAAGATTTTTTGATAGATTGATTCAATAAGTGTGTCAAACTTGTATGGATAATAACATATGGCTCTAATTGTATTGATTTTCTTTTCATCAGTGGTTTGGACAGTTCATCATGTTTCCAATGTATCTCTCTGCTGAAATCGTTGAGTCGTGGTGGTCGTACGATCATCTGCACAATCCATCAGCCAAGTGCCCGTCTTTTTGAGATGTTTGACCACCTCTACACCTTAGCTGAGGGTCAATGTGTCTACCAAGGATCAACATCCCAACTTGTTCCATTCTTAAGCACACTTAACCTTGTTTGCCCAAGCTACCACAACCCAGCCTCTTACTGTGAGTATAAAGTCAACATAGCAATAGCTCTGGAATCTTTTTTTGGGCGCTTCTGGGTACCAGATGCGCCCTTTCCAGCCGTTCGACTCCCCCGATGTAACATGTACTATACTACATACCGTTTTGCCTTATGGGTAATGACGCCATTCTGGTACACCCGGGAAAATTTGATTTTCTTCTGCATCTGGTATTCGTAAAAGTTTTCGTGAAATGTTTTGCTTTTAAGCATAACAATCTCGCATGGACGTATTAACGTACCTGGTTAAACTATTTTGGGGCTTCGTTATGCTTAAATGCCTCATATTCAAGGTTGTAGTTTCAGATTGATTCGAAAAAATCACGAACAGTCACGTGATCTCTTCATTTTAGTGACGTATTACTGTGCTATTTTGTGATTGGTTCATTTTCTCGGCGCAGCATCGTCAAGCGTCAGCTGTTTGCGGCTCTGGGTCGAAGGTTTAAGGTTATGTCAGAGAGAATAGAAAGTTAGAGGCCCGACTCGATGCTAGGTAATTGAAACAGATGCGCTCGCAGCGCGCTCGCTGGCAACGTACGCAACTACTATTTTCTATTGTTTTCCAGAGACTAGCGGCCGGTATGTTGCTGCCGGACCACCTTCACGTAGGCAATTTATTATACATCGTCCGTCCGCAATACTCTCGCTTGGCCGTATGAAAACGTTCCTCGCATGCGCAGTGTTAAAGAAGCGCCCTTCAACGCTTTGGCGTTGGAACTGCTTGTATTCATTGGCTACATGATACATAAAGGACAAATACCAAAAATTGATTTTGAGCTTCTATCAAATCTAGAAAATATGCCAATAAATTAGACGAATACCACAGATCTGGTGTTAAAATTTGCAGAATTGCAAAAGAAGCTGTGCATGCTCACGTCACTGTAGCAATCAGGTGCCATACCATACCCTGCACTGCTGACTAGCCTAGCATAAAGGGAAATAGAACAATGTAGAGTATAGAGAGTATGCGAGAAAATTTTTGAACGAAAACAGTTTTTTTCTCTTTTTTACAGCGAAAAATGAGAGCAACCAGAAGGAACATTCATTTTTAAGTTTTTTGGCTCCATGCGCACTTAAGACATTTTTGCGGATTGAGGAAACATTTCTAAGATTGAAAAATTTGAGAAGCTAAAACTACTAATATTTTTAGCTCTGATGAACTCTCCAGTGTCTCATAATGTCTCATACTTTTTTTGTGTTTTAGTGATTGAGGTTTCCTGCGGAGAATATGGTGACAATGTGAGCACTTTGGTGAAGGCTATCAACAATGGCAAACACGATATCAGAAACGGAAAACCATTCCCAGTCTCTGAGCCCTTGAACAATGCCAATATCAAATCAAAAGACAATCTTTCGAACGGTTTGTTTTCTTATGATAATACATAAAAATAATCATATAATTTAATATGAACATCATTGCGGTAAGATAATTCTCTGATATAAGAATCAAGATCCATTAATTCTCCAGAAGTCTATAATCAGAACTTCCCTCTACATTCATTGGCCAAGACTATAATTAATATTACTGTATCATTACTCCTACAAAAAGATGTGTTATAATAGCCTGTTCAAAACTTCAAAACAGTAACTTCTTTTAATACGTTACTAAATCTGAATAATACTTTTAAATCAGTCAAATGAATTCTCTGAAATAGTCAACAACATAACTTTGGTCAGAACTGAAAAATTTCATCTATTTTCCTCTGTCATCAATAGGAGAATGGTTTGTCAAATGATTTTTATTTCAAAGGAAAGCATGCAACATAATGTTCCACCACTACTCAGAGATCCTGTTCTGTGCTCTCAAAAAATAATATAATAAGATGTGATTTTTACTGCAGTTTTTGAGAGTTATCTTCTGGGTACATAAACCGCTTTCTCACTTTAGCACATTGTTTTTATTCAATTTGCCTCTCTTTTCTTGCAGGAAACTCACTGGATACAAACTTTTTATTAAAGTTCGCCAACAATGATATCGCCAAGGACACACCACAAACAAGTAAGCTTGGATAGTTGACTGATGCAAATTAGATTTTTCTCAGGAAATTTATCATACAATACTGTATTACATCGGCATGGACTTTAATTACCGTTATGTCCCAGGATTTGGCCCAGGATTTGAGACCATGCTCATTTCAATCAGATCCTGGCACCATGAAATTTCAATTTAAATTTTTAAGTCATTTGAGACACTTTACGCGTACTTTCCAGTACTTTACATATTTCAGTCAAGTCTGTAACTCGCGTCCATTGGATTTGAAACTTAAGTTTCAGATATTTCCATATTTCTGGTAAACTTTATAAACGGTGCTTTTCTTTTTCAGCTGAAACTGGGCAAGTTGTCATTCCTGTCGACTTGACCTCGCCAGAAAAACCAGATAATGTAACAACAGCTCTCCTCGAGCAAGCTCTACCTTCTAGTCAGCGAAGATATGCCACATCAGAACTCTCACAATTTTGGATTGTTCTTAAGCGTACTCTGCTCTTCTCAAGGCGAGATTGGGTAAGTAACATATCATTGATGATGCTAGAAGCCTCTACAAACTTCATAGCAAAACATAAGTCAATTTTTATTTTTTGAAACAAAGGAAAGAGTAGCAATTATGAAACACCCCAATCGAATCGTAGGTTTTTTCAGCTTCATCATTAATTAAGCTGTGATGTAACTGCAGTTTGGAGCTAAGATAAGAAGGTTTGCATAAATTAGTAACCAAATCACCTCAGACCTTTGAGTATTTAACTTGCCGTTTAAAAATAGTTATTTTAAGGTCTGGCAAAACATCATCAAGGGATTACTTACTTTTTCCCCAATTTTTTTACTTAGATCAATTTTACTACTATTTTCCTCTTTCCAAGGCAAGTTAGACTGATCGAAGTTAATTGATGTAAGTCAGTGGAATCAAATGCTACACCATGACATAAAAAGGCTTAATAACTAATGCAATTGATTCTCAAAAAGAGTGTGGTTGACTTCTCTTTGCTTTTTTTAAATACCGGTAAAAACTGAGCATTAAATCAATTTGGAAATAGAAAAATTAAATTTTACTAAACTTGCCGTCATGAGGAAAAATTAGGAAAAAGAAGTGAAAAATTAAAGGCATTTGAAACTTTCTGAAAATCAAAAATTGCCATCCTTAAGACACTAAAATATTTCCTTCTGTACTAGGTAGCGTAAATTCTGTGTGATTAATTTTATCGAAAGATAAAGGTAAATGAAAGATGCTTGATTGGGTTCCTCCTGGGAGGAGACGTAGGGGACGCCCAGTGAGAGGTTGGCGACAGGGGGTGTTGAGTGAGATGAGGGAGTGTCAACTCCCTGATGACCTGTGGGAAGACCGAGCTTTGTGGCGATTGGGCGTCGTAGAGCGCCGAAGAGCGCTGTAAAAGCGACTCATATGTATGTAAAGGTAAATGAGAAAAAATTAGATTCACAATGGCTTGTGTTAAAATATCTTGATGCATAAGTAAATATTGAATTGGATTCTTGGGGACCCCTCATGATTTCTTGTTTTTATGTTCCAGACATTAATGTATTTGCGATTATTTGCCCACATTTTGGTTGGTTTTCTGATTGGCGCTCTTTACTACGACATTGGAAACGATGGTGCTAAAGTGCTCAGTAATCTTGGTTTCCTCTTCTTCAATATGCTTTTCCTTATGTATACTTCCATGACCATCACAATTCTCTCTTGTAAGTAGTCTACTTTCGATTTATGGCTTTGTGAAATATTTAATCGGACTCAATGGATTTTATCTCACATTAAACTAGTGATGGGCAGAAAGGAAATTTGCAATTCCTTTTGCTGCGTGTGTCATTGTTTCCATAATTTTTACAGCATTTACAGATGATTCATTTTCAAAATTTCTAAAGCAACTACCTGACTGTTTGAAATCAGTCAAGATAATTCAATCGCCTCTTAAAGTCTTTTTATGGAAAATGTCCCACGATTTCGGCTTCAATTAGATTATGTACAATACTTATTAATTTTTCAATTAAATTTCATTAATATACATTGCAATGTTTTTTGTTTTTCTTTTTCAGTCCCGCTAGAAATGCCTGTTTTGATAAAAGAAAATTTCAATCGTTGGTATTCATTAAGGTCCTACTATCTAGCCATCACATTCTCTGATCTTCCATTCCAGGTAAGAGGACGTTTCGAATATGTTATTTTCTGAGGAAGAAGAGATGTGTACTTTGAAAGTTTCTAGTATGCCAGTAAAAATCTTATCACTTTACAATACCTACTACCCGCTTTTTAAACATGATGGGAAACAAGACCTTAGATTACTGTTGACAAAAATCTCCTTCATTAATTTTAACTCGTTTTGTTCTGGTAGTACTTCAAATTATAGCAGATGGATTATATTTTAGCTTTCGAAAATATTGCACTGGCTCTTATATCTCTATAATAAAAAATTTGTGGACTGTAAATACTTCTGTTGTTCACAATAATATTGATGAAACTGGGTACCTGATACTAAACTCAGAGTAATTCTAAACTTTCCAAATGCAGATTTTCTTTCCTCTATTTATAATGGTTAAAATGAGTGAGGCGCATCATAAAATCCAATGTGGTTAAAAATCATGTGGACATTGTGTGTGTTTTCATCATGAAAAAAATAAACAAACTACACGAATTATTTAAATAAAAAGGAACTTTGTAATTGTTAAAATTTATTTGTATAAATTGCGTGCTTCATAGTTTTTTTTTTTATTAAATGAATCTGACACAGCACCTATTCAGTCAAATACGCCCATGTTCAAGAATAAGTCCGCATGGTTAAATTTTTCAGAAAAGAAGAGAGCATAATTTTTGTTCTCTTTGTTTGCCTCTTCGGTGTTAAAAAGTTTGTAAGTTAATCTCCTTATGTTTGTTGACAGGCTATTTTCTGTGTGATTTACGTGTCAATTGTGTACTACATGACATCACAACCTCCAGAATGGGATAGATTTGGAATGTTCTTAGGAGCTTGTCTTCTTATTTCATTCGTTGCTCAGAGTGTAGGTCTTGTGGTTGGTGCAGCTATGAATGTACAGGTAATTTTTAATTTTGATTTGATACTAGCATTTTAGTCAAATTTAAAGGCTTTAATTGAAATTTCAAAACTGATTTAGCTTTGGCTCCCATTTCTACGCTTTTATTTTTTTGAAAATTACAGAGCGCAGAGTGCTCTCATTTGCTCATTCCGTTGTTGTTCCATTGTGTGAAAAGTTATTTTATTACAAATAAATTTTTCAAAGCAAAAATGTATTTTGGAAAGGCTTATTTTTCTATTGCCAAGAAAACGATTTTATACATATATCAAGCCGCTACCTCAACGTAGTAGAGCACTCTGCGACTCCAAATCGCCATCAGAATCGATCCTCCCACAAATCAAAGAAAACAATTTTAATTTGTCAAATCAAATGAAGCTACTTCTTTTAAAGTAGATACTACCAAGTGAAAAAAATGTGTGACACTAATTTGGATAATTAATGGAAGGAAGATTCAAAAGGAAATTCTTTGAAAATGAGTGTAAAATGAATGACTCTGCATAGGGTTACCGGAAATGGCAGGTGCCTAATGAGACGATTTTGGTTTTATTTAGAAGATCTAAAAAGAAATAAATTGATAACAAGTTTAGTATTGAATAAAAATTTACCAACTCATTGCAGTCTTAATGAGAAAAATGTGTGGGGATGGTCTACTGAAATTTTCTTCCTAAAAATTAAGTTTTGGTGTTTTTGGAGTTCTACCGCAATACCATTCTACTATTCTCTTCTGGAATATACAAAGTATCATATTTTATTATTTTTTAAATTTTAATTTTCTGGTAAACTAACCATCATAATCTAAATTTAGTCTCTTTTTGTCTCCCAACAAGTATGTTTTGGTATTCCAGAAATTGATGTAGGACTGCAAGAAATTGGATTTCAACTCAAAGGATCTCTACTGTACAATACTCTAATGAGTCCAACCACTTCTGCATTAGATAACCTCAAATTATTTTTTAACTCTCTTTCAGAATGGTGTATTCTTGGCTCCGGTTATGTCTGTGCCTTTCTTACTTTTCTCTGGATTCTTCGTTAGCTTTGATGCTATCCCAATCTACCTCCGCTGGATCACATATCTGAGTTACATCAGATATGGTTTCGAGGGAACGGCCCTTGCCACTTACGGTTTTGGCCGAGGAAAGCTCAAGTGCCACCAGGTTAGTTTCATTTTTATGGAGTAATTTCCCAGAAATACCATCTTTCCTCAAAGTGCAGTAGTAGGTAATGAGCTATTACCATACCACCATTATATGCCTACTAGCTGGAGTACCCGTGTTTTGCACGGTATTGGCAGCATTTGCCGGTTGTAGTGTTTTAATAAATAAACTTTGATATAGATGAGTTAAAATGTCAACAATCAAGGTTTTATATTTTACACACTTTACTCAACTCGACCATCTTTTACATTTACTTGCACTCATCTCCGATTGGCCCTACTTATCTGCTTTATCTCGATTTTTCCCTTCTCTCCCAGATTTATGCAAACCCTCCTCAATGTATTTTCTTGTGTTCCAGTATCTCGCTACATTCATCCACAGTCTAGTTTAAAGTTTGAAATTTAAATTAAACTCCTAAAATGTTTAGCAGAATTGTGCAGTAGTGGTCATCAGAAGCCACTGAGTTTTTAGAGACTTTCAGAGATGCGTCACCTAAAACTAGTGAGACGTCAGGTGCATGTTAAGATGTAGAATTTTTGTAAACATTTTTTCCTTGTTTGACAAATAGCTCAAAACAGCCTGTGTTCGGGTCATGTGGGTGGAGACTTTTGAGAACGACACATTAGCTCAGGGTCCTTTGTTTTTGAAAATTTTTAATTTTGAAAAATAAATAAAATGCTATCAGAGCAAATAAAATAATTGCATATCATTATAGAAGGGAGAAAAAAAATAATGGAAGCTCGTTAGTTGAAGGTAATCGTATTCTGTTGCTTTTTTTTTTCTTATTCTGTTTTTTCAAACTGAATTAATCAAGTTCTCTTATAACTTTCAGACCTACTGTCACTTCAAAAACCCGGAGACAACACTGGAAGAATTAGACATGTTAGATGCCAGCTTCACGTTGGACATTGCTGCTCTCATCATCATCTTCTTCGTCCTGAGGATCGCTGCGTTCATCTTCCTGCGGTGGAAACTGCTTTCTTCCCGCTAAGCAAAATTAACAACTGTAAATACTGTCCTTGATATTTATTCTTTCGAACTCAGTGCAATAAGCAGCAAAATGCTGAGCTATTGAAGAGAGGAGCCTCAAGCTCAGCTGGGGAAAGCCGAATAGCTCTCAGTTATTACTTGCTGTGAAGGTGTGCGTTTTTAGGTTAATATGTATCTATCACTCACTCACACCCTTTCACACAATTTTATTGAGTGTGGTGAGTTCTATCTAACCATGGGTTGTAGCTTTAACACTTCTCAAAAAGTTATGAAACATCCAGAAGCTTTAAATCTGAAATTTTGACTTTTTTTTGTGACGCTTGTTGAGCGTTTTCCACCATTGCTTTAATGAATAAATTCCAAGTCATTAAATATGTACATACATAGATTTCAGTTGTACTCAGAATGAACCTAAAAAAATGAACCTAAAAATGATTTGTTTTTCTAAGGGAAAAATAGTTATCAAAATAAATTACATGGCTGGTTGAAATTTCAGGAGCCCTGGAAAACTGAAGGTACCTAAAGATTAATTTTGTCCAAAAAACGACTCTGATAAGCTATTTATTATATCTTTATAATTCTCAACCGTTCCAGAGTTTTTAAAATTGGCAGTAATATATTAAGGCTGCCAAAAATTGCTGAATAGAAGAAAGTCAAAATAATGTAATGTTTATGTTGCCTACTTTTTGAATTTTTTTGTTCGTTGATTTATCGTGTTAATGTGTAATCCAAGTTTAGCTGAAGCACATGCAGAAAAGTTGAGTGATTTTTTCAATTCAGATAATATTTGACAAATTCTATTTGGATGAAGAAATCCTGCCTGTAAATTTTTGTTGATAAAGTGCCTACTTCCGTTATACCTCTTGTACCTACGTCATGAGATCTCATGTAACATCAAACATTTTCATGTCCATAAATCTCAGACACAAATGCACTCAACCAGAAGATTCTGAATCATATTTGTATGTTGAGCCGATATTTCTGCCTGTACAAATGCTAGCTGCTCTGCCTTAAAGTCATTTCTATCATATGAATTTTATTTCTCACAAAAAGTCTTTCAAGAGAGCTTTATTACCTGCATGAGGACCAAATACAAATTTTGTACCTTTTTTCTCAATTTTTTACTGCAAACTTTTTCCGTACTTATTTCTCATGAAACATCATTGTTTGTAAGACTTTTTCCACTTAGTCTAAGTAAAGATATTGAAATGACATTAGTTGTAAGTTCTTTTAAACCTAAACTTCAAAGAAGTTTTAGCATTTTGAAGTTCGTTGGAAGTCAAACCCTCGCAAGAATTCAAAGGAATATTTTCTGTCTTTGAATGATTTTATTTAAATGTTAAAATACTAGCTATTTAGTTAATCTGTTTGCGATTTAGGGGTGCGCATAATTGAGGTTTTGGATGCAACAAGGGAATTTCTTGGTTGCTGTGGTTCACAATTTCCACTGCTAATTTATAGTTCAGAGAGGACACTATTGGGTGAATTTTCTGGAATCTTTCGTTTTCAGCATTGTAAAATCATATAGAAAATTCAGAAATTAGTTTCAACGAATCCACACATTTTCTTTAATCATAGGGGATGAATAGTTAGCAGAGATTCTGAAAAACCACAACCAAGAAATACCCTCTCTACACTCGAAGCTTCAATTTGCAATTGTCAATTTTAAAAGGTTTAAACCAGTAGCTCATTTTGGAAAATGTGGTAAGTTTCATGGGAAACTTTTAAATGATGCTGGCTTCTTTTCCTTCTCTCTAATAGTTAAAAAATTGTTAAAAAATGTTTCATTTTTGAATCCTGCCATCGTGAATTATAATAGTTCCGAAGTGAAGGAAGGTGTGTTTTTATGTTTACAAATCATACATATGTGATTGTATTTCTGTACTGCCTTTCTAAAATAGCAGAAAAAGTGTTTTCAAAATGATTTCCAGATGTTCCTCAAAATCATCTTTCATCACAATTCTTTTGCACCCCTAAATTTTGTACTTTTAGCTTCTCATACACCATGACATGTAATTTTTAGTGCGCCAGTTATGAAGAAAATTTCCTTGAATATTTTTCATACTAAGTCTAAACAAGGTGATTCATGATACCTGGAATTATTGGTTTATCATGAACTTAGTGATGAAAATTTTTGATCCATGTGATCAACTTCAAACTTTAATCATAATTTATGAGCCTGCTCTCGAAATGTCTATTTTACAGTTTTATATTTGTCATTTGTATGAAAAATGAATTGTATTTAACTCTGTATCCTCTGAAATTTTTTTGAAGGGTATAAAATATAATTGTTACCAAATTTCAAAAAGATGTTTTTCCTTTATATTATGCCTTATTCCCCTCCCCAACGTTATTTGCTTTCCCCTTAAAACTGGTGCCTGAGCATTTTGACAGAAACATATTCACAAAGATAATGTGTTCTGAAAAACATAGTTACCCATGCTATGCTCAACTTTCTTGTCGATTTAGATTTTCCGATACTGTGAGTGGTAACTCAAAAGTTATTCACTTTTCTCTCAGTACTTAGTGATGCATTCAAACATGGTCCACATCTAGAAATTAATTTTTACTGCAATAAGAATTTAAAACAAAAAAAAATTGCCTCCCCTTCCCTCCGCAAAATTGACAAGAGTTTCTAATAAACTCCTTTGCAGATGGGGTAAAAAATGAATTTTACAAATGTGACTGACTAGAAAAAGGAACTTGAGCACTGAAAATTGATTTATCGGCACCATTGCTCCATCATCGCTTGTTTTCAATGAAAGTCATCTGTTGAAATTTTCAAATTAAATAAGAAGAACAGATTGCAATTTTTTATCGATATTGTTTCATTAAAACTGGTAAAGAGTTAGATTATAAACAGTACTTTTTGACTCAAATTATTTTAGAGCTCTACTTCAGGGTTTTTCTGTATGGACGTATAAGTAAGTATACTTGAATATTGAATCTAGAGTTAGACCTTTCAGTTTTTCCAAAATAATACATCCAATAAATTAAATCTACAGTAGGTGTATTGAAGCATTGACGAAATGCGGGATTATAAACTAAGCATCTTCTTTACAACCTCTCATGTGAGTTTGAAGGTACGTTTGAAATTTGAGAAATTAATGGTGCAGATCGAGTTCCAGGACTAGAGAGCTTGCTCCGTATAGGCAGCAGACCCATTGTTTACCTCAAATTTTCTGAATCCCACCCTAGCTAAACCTTTAATTTTACAAGGAATTTCATATGCACTGACATAGCCAAGAACTTGTGAAGAGGAAAGGGAAGGAAATGCATATTCAACAGTGGCGAGGCATGAATGATCGATTATTGATATTTCCCCATTTGAAGATTTATTAAAGAATTGATTTTTAAGGTGTTCGTCGTGAACGCCTTGTTTATTGATCCTTTTCCATAGGTTTAAATGGCAGATCAATCGGTTTTCGCAAAGCACGCCACCCTACTGCCTTGTAAATGTTTTATATTATTTGCGTCTATGGATAATATCGGTTGATTTTAGGTCTTGACCACACGACCAAAGTTTGTACATATTAGTTCCACGAATTGGTGGTTCCAGGAGCGAGTTATAGGTAAGTTATAACAAGTTCCTCCAAGTTCACTTGCAGAATTTTACTTCCATATCTGAAGACGTCGATTCTAGTGTAACCAAGCTCTTTTTCAAAATTTCCCGCGGTTTAGAATTTGGAAGTTTTGCCACACGTATCATTCAAAATTTACCGTAATGACATACCTAAAGTACGAACCGAACACCAATTTTATGACAAATATCCCACTTCATAGAACTTAGGGAGTTTAAAAGTTGAATTATTATGATTTTAATACCGCATTGCAAATGATTTCAAAGGTATTAAGAGGCTTAAATCATTAATTACCAATCCTCGCATGTGGGACCACCCGGAACTTGCTGATTTTTTTGTTGGTACTGCTACTTTTCAATGTTGTCAGATTGCATAATTTATAATTTTTCTTATGCAATTTTTGTAGCGTTTCTGTGCAAACTAGGTGCAAACTCGCAAATGGAAATGAGAATGTGTGCGTGTGTTATGTGTTAGTGTGTTAGTCATAGACGATCGTCTGCTAAACTTACAGACATCGGCGTGATAATGATAATGAAATTCAAGTTAACTTTGATGGAATTTTCAGTTTATAGTGTTAAAATGTTTGAAGTCCATCTTGTGCTGTGACCATCGTGTTTCCACATGCAGTTGTTTTTCTAAATTACTTCCTTGTGCGTGTAAGCACGTTTTCAGGCTAACATGGAGGGCGTTGGGGCCGAAATCAGTCAAAAAATCAAAGTGAGTACATATTGTCCAATCTGAAAAGCATCTTGCATAGCTCCGTAGAGATCATACAAATCGCCGTGGTATACTTACCACTGTATATCTGCATATTTCCTCTGCAGAAATCCTAGGCATATTCACCATGGCTTATCGCTATCACTTATCATCAGGGTCCATGGTCTGACTGAACCTAGATATATCTTTATGAACCGCTAATAATTCTGCTGTCAGGTCTCGGGTTGTTATTGACAATCTGCATCCGGTTTAATGGCCTAGGTCAGACAGATCTATATCCCCCGGCAAAGGATAGGGTCACTTATCAATGTTCTATTTCAGAGGTCAATCCTGTCCTTTCCTCGTTTTTTAATTTGTCAGGCTTGCTTCAACAGCCTCATCCCGCAACTGTAAATGGAAGGTTTGTGAGGAAAGAACTGAAGGTGGACTGTAGTTATTTGACCCTCAATCACTGCAGCCTTTAGGCCCATGAGGAATAAAGTATCTGATACGTGGTACAGTGCTAAATTCCATGCCAAATAAGTTTAAGTACGCACCTCTAGATTGCCACAGAAGATCATCTCGCATCATTTTTCAAGACAAGTAAACGCAAGAATAAAGATGGACCCTCTGTTGCAGCCTGATGGTTGAAATTTTATGTTTGTCGGGTGTACATAGATGACATAGGTTAAATGGCGAAGCATTATTGGTGGGTTATGTCTTATCGCTGCTTTGTCGATTGGAATGGACGACTTACTGTTATAACTCAAGAGGTGCCTCTAGTTTTTTGTCCATTCTACTTAATCAACAAAGCAGCGATAAGACAGAGCCGACTAATCATGCTTCACCATTTAACCTATGTCGTCCATGTCCACCTAACAAACACGAAATCTCAACATTCTGGCTGCTGCAATCTATAAGTGCGTTAACTTATTTGGCGTGGACTCTAATTGCTCCTCATTGATGAGTCTGTGTGTCCTTTTATATTAACAGGCACTATGATCTGAACAACATTACCAAAGAACCCTCATTATTATTTGCAGTTTCTAATTCTGATCTAAATTCAACCACATGTATTGAAAGCAATGTGAGCATTTTATAGTAACTTGAATGTTACTTTGATGTTTCTTTTATATTTGATGAGTTTTCTTCATTACTTTATTTTAGTCTGCCATTAAAGCCAAGCTGATGGAAATCGGGGCATTTGTGGATGACGAACTGCCGGACTATATCATGGTGATGGTCGCAAATAAACGGACTAAAGCTCAAATGAATGATGATCTCAGCCTTTTTCTAGGCAGCAATACTCACCATTTCACATCGTGGCTCCATTCGGTCCTTGAGCAACTGAAGCAAGTTACACTTATTTCGCAAGGTAAGTAAGCAAATTCTGCAGGGAACCACCTTAAAAAAATACATGAATACAAATTTATCAAAAGAAATTATTCTAATACACCGGAATGACAGCTACCAGTTGAACCAAAAAAAAAAAAAAAATTCAAAACAATTTACTCAGTGTGTGCCAAGAAAAGATTGATATGATTTATTTTTGAAGGGCATAAGCACCGAAATTCATGTTTCGAGGAACGCAGAAAAAACTCTCAATCTCTTGAGCTTGAACAGCTAGTGTCCAACGAATACCTGTCTTAACTAGGCTCAAAAGGTCAAGCGCATACCAAATGACACAGATTTTCCGTTTTTCTTGAAATCTGAATTTCAGCGCCTGAGTCCTGGAGAAACAAATCGGTTCAATTGCCTGGCAAACATTTTAGAAAACTTTTGTAACTCTATAGTTGCGAAATTTCGCTCTTTTTTATGATACATTGAATTTGAAAGTTAAGTATGCTGCGTAAGTTGTTACTGTGTGCAATCTTGACCTTACATGAAAAGGAAGATCAATCTATGAAGAATCTGGTTAAGAATGGTTGTATCATCTTTAAAGCAAAGTGTTTTTAAGCAGCCTGTTGATTAAGTTATCATTTGTCCAAATACCAAGATGTGTCAAAATTTTGATGATTTTTCCAGCCGCCAAAGGATCAAAGGACTCTAGTAAACGGAAGTCAACCGCCTCTGGAGACAATGCTAGTGAAGAAAGGGAGCGAAAAAAGAAACGTAAAGAGAGCAAGGATGAAAGTGAGGTGCCAACCTCCTCCCTCCCAGTGTCAGATATCACCGATCGGATCAAACAAGAGCTCATTAGTGAATTTTCCAAAGACGCTAACATAGTCACGCAAGTGCCATCTGAAGTGCCTAAGAACAAGCGTCCTTTAGACTCTGCTCCAGAAGAGACTGAAAGTTCAATACAACCTGCTAAAGCCTCAGAAGTCCCGCCTGAAAAAGTCTCTGAAGGTCAGTGTCTTGAAACTCATTTTTTTATTGCTTTAATGGAAAGAGAAGGAAGAATCCTGATATATCGAACATGATTACCTATTGTTAAAATTATATTACTTCTATAAAGTCTTCAAGAAAATAACCAAAGAGACAAATCCTGCTTAATAGAAACTGTAGAGTAAAGGTGGAGCAAATTTTGGAAGATTCCTTGTATATTATTTGCGGCAACTGAAGATGTCCAAGTTAATCTCAAAATATGGAGAGTTCCAACTCTGCTGTATTGAAAGAGAACGTCATATGAGGCTTTAGACATTGATACATTTTTGGGGAAATTTGTAAATATTTTCTGTCCAATTTTTCAGAGAGATTTGCTTGTAATTTGGACGTATTTATGTTGAAAAGAACTGTGTGGAAGTGGAAAAATGGGGTGTGCCTGTGGAAGCCGGATAAGAAACAATGTAAAAGTGGACATAGTTCCTTTTGAGAAAATGGAAAAGCGGGATTTTCATTTAAATGAAAAGGAACTGAGCACCAACTCGTGAGCTGTGGGCATGTGACAAGAGCCTTGTGGACAGGGCTTGTGAGTTAAAGACCGTGTCGTTGATCGTTGTTTCTCTCATTGTTGCTGCTGACGTTACTGGCGCTTTACATTTCCCATTCATTCTTATGGTCCGAGCACCAACGAGCACACCCCATCTTTCCACTTTCATTTGTTGAAACTTGTAGTGACTTAAACATTCAAGTCAGGGTCTTCAGAGAAATGAACTTTGAGAAAACATGTATCCTTATCTGAATTCCATAAGCAATTGCTCGAAACAAATAATAAGATTACACTGGAAACTTCCAAAATTTCAGTGAAGGCCTTTGAACGATTTAATTTAATTTTGGCTGAAAATGTAATGGAGTATGACTATTATATAAGGTAAAACAGCAGATCTTGTTTCAATGATTTGGTTTGACAGCATATTAGTTCAAATTTGTGTTTCGTTTGTACGCTAAATTGTTTTATTTCATCTCGATTGCAGATAACAAATCTTCAAGCAAAAAGGATGCGGCAGCAGCTGCTAGAAAAGTTAAACATTCCGCAGAAGTCACAAAAGAAGTATCTGTTGAAAAAGAGCTAGTCACGAACAAAAAAGTCATCGAAAATGGTGGTAAAGATGGTAAGTTCTTTTCTACAACCTCTCTGTTGCCATGGTTTTCCAGTTCTTTCAGGAACTTGGTTCCCTGCTGGTCTCTCCAGTGAAGCTGTCTGGATGGACATGGATCTATTATTCTTTAAAAGAAAGACTTTTAATAATGTGGATAACATACAACACTTTGGTTGATTGTTAATAATTTTGCAGTTTTGAAAATTTGAGAGTAGATTCATAGGTATTTTAAAGTTTATCAGAATCTTGGACTTTTTTTCTCCATATTTCTTATTTGTTTCAAAGGCAAATCATCACAATTTCTTGCAAAGCATCTCTCCTGAAAGTATGAGAGTTGAATTTTACTCAAGATTTGTGAAAATTGTCCTTTTTATGAAGCTATGTCAAGGATCTCTTTAAACCTCCCTTAATGACGGTGTAAACCATGTGGGACCTCTGGAGAGAAGGACTGTTCAGACCTCAATAGACAATGAAAATGCCTATCCAAATGGGAGGCAGTGTGTCCGGAGTCATCAGTCCCAAAATCATTACATTCTATTCCAATGCAAACCAAGCAGAATTGTTTCATCTGGCTGAAATTGATGAATGATATCACAAGAAGATCGATTAAAGAAGAATGCTGCATGGTGGCAAACAGTCATCAATCAGTCTATCTTGATTGGAATTGCTCGGGAATTTGATCGGCTATCAAGGCCTTTAAAGAAACGACCATGAATACAGCTCATCGTTATTAATATCCATGAAATTGCTTGTGACTGACATTTTAATAGGGTTTGAAAGATACCTTGATGGTGTGCCACTGCATGTTATACATTTCTGCCAAGAATTTTATGTAACGGCGGATTTTCTCTTCTTTTTTTTCAAGGCAATAGTGCAAAAGAAGACTCAGAGGACTCACTATCGATAGAATTGAGCTCAGATGAAAATGAATACATCAACATTAAAAATGGTAAGTCTCTTTTAATTTGTAAGTTGATTGTATTACACTTACGTGTCAAGATTAAACAGATTTAAATTGAAAACTGATCAGCAGAAGAATTTATCGGAGCTCGGAGTCAAATGAGAATTTGTCCAGTATGTAACAGGTTGATAGTACAGTACGTAGTCTCCCAGAGAAAATCAAAGTGAGTAGTACTTAACATTAGAATTAGTTTTACAAAATGATCTTAATGAGTTTCAGTGCTAGATTTAAGGGAGAAGTTTTGACTGAGGCTGGTGCATTAGAAATGCATTGCGACAGTTCCCATTGCGACAAGGTGTCCACGATCAGTAAAAACCAGAAAATATCTGGAAATTTGCTATTATCAAAAAAATATCAGGAAATTCGGTCATGAATCAAGAAATTGGATCAAGTATGTCGGTCAGTATTACAATGAAACGAGCGTTAATTTAATCGTCCCGAAAATCAGGAAGTTTCATTTAGAATATAAAAAAAAAGGTCAGGAAAATCCAAAATGAAATTTTAGTTGACACCCTGTAAAATATTGTTACCGATTTTATTTTTAATTTCCAGGAAATATTGAGGAAAAGTAAAACACCCTACAAAATTAATTTGAAGATGAGAGCAAAACGGTGTTAGTCGTCAGTAAGACCCAAACAAAGTGTTTCCAATGTACCTACCTTAGCTGAACGCTTTCTCTCCTCAGTCTTGCACTGAAAGCCTTTGAAGTTCATTTTATAACTCTAATTTTTATTATATTTGGTTTTTCCTTTCCCCCAGACAAGCTTGAACTCATCACTATTACACCTAATTGTCCCTTACAGCATTTGAGCCATATTTTCAGTGTTTTTTTCCCCTTTCAGTCACATAATGAGAATGGTTTACTCACGAAACATATTGCATTTTTATTATGTGTCTTACTTCTATCATTTCCTCAATTTGAGTTCATTCTTTGAACTGCCTGTGCTTACAAAGTAAATTTGGTTTGTTTCAGATGATTTATTTTTAAGCGGAGACGATGATGTGGCAACACCATGCCCTCCTAGTATCAAATCAGTGTCAAGCAAAGCAATCAGTTTGAAAGCCAATGACCCAAGAAGTTCAAGGCGTCATTCAGGTTCAAAAGAAACTCTCTCTAAGAGAGGTCGATCACCAGAACCCTCAAGATCAACATCTGGTGCTAGAGACGATCATAGGAGAGTAGTTTTAGACCGTTCTAAAGAACCCTCAAGGCGAGATACAGAGCGTACAAAATCGGACGCAAACTCAGTAGGATCAAAGAAAGTTATGGATGCTCGAGAAGTCCTCAACTGGAAGCGAAGTTTGAGCAAAGGTCAAGCTTCAGGAGGAGAAAAGTCTGAGGAACAATCTAGGAATAAATCAATTTTTGATCGGTTGTCAGGGAACTCTGCGCGATCAAGTGATCGTGTGAGGGAGAGGTCCGTTGAGCGTATAAGACAACGATCTGGTGAACGTGTAAGAGAGCGGTCCAGTGAACGTTCTCAGCGAGTAGCATCAAAAGATCACTCCAGGAGCAAAGACGATTCAAGGAGCTCAGTAAAGTCTAGTGTCAATATTACTGAAAACAAGAAGCGCGATAGGCGGACAGACGATATTCAAGCAGCATCCACTCTAGCTAAGCGTCAAAAAATAAGTATCTCTGAGATTGCCAAGGTGGAACGAGAGCTTTTGCGAGGTGTGCAGAAAGTTGCTGCTGTGAAGCCACAGGTCACATCACAAGTCTCATCCCGGAGTCTAGCGCAATCTTCACGAAGTCACGAGCGTGAATCCAGGAGCAGCCAGTCGTCGGTGCGTAACCACAATCCTAATGTTTTAGTACTAACTTTTTTACCTGATCTAGAAGCAAGTATCAAGTCAGTAATCAAGGTCTTAATTGAATAATTTTTTACGTTTTACTTTCAAAACATTTTGTCAAAAATTAACTCTTATTACAGGATTTCCCAGGGTTAAACAGCAATACTGCAGGAGCATGTTGTTTGGATCAAAATAGAATTTTTCTTTTATGAACTTTCTGTCCAAAAGTGCCTTGAGTAAGAGCTAAGGCCCCTCAAAATTTATTATTTGACATAAAGTTCTGGTTTAAAAGTCAATCAATCTTAAAAATGATGAAAAGAAGAATAAAAAGCCATTATCAAAGACAAGTGTAAATCTCCCGTAGTCCTGTAAGTCTCCTCGTTGATTGCCTGGGCAGACATTTGTCCATTTCTTTTTCATTTAAAATTTAGGATTCCATTGGCGAAAATCTCTCTCCCCAAAACCTTATTTCAATCGGGCTTGTGGAACTTTTTTTAAAAGCCTTTGTTATCTTTATGATTTCTCTTGCTAAATGATATTTTGCAGTACATATTCATAAAGATTTTTGTCTTCTTATTTTCGGGCGTTTCATATCCTTCTCACTTTGAATCTAAAATATTTAGTTAAACCACTCCTCTATGACATTTCCCAAACCATTTACATATTCAAAGTTTTACCAATTAAATTTTCTCTGTTCAGTCTCGTAGGAAAGAAAAGGTGCCTGAAAATCGGCTGGCCAGTCAAGTGATCGCCAAAGAACCGGAGCCAGAAGACGAGGATATTGTTGCAGACGTTCCATCGGTAGTCAAAGTCACTCCTCGTCCCGTCATTCCATCAGCGAAAGCAGCACCAAGGAATCTTATTTTGAAGGCAGTCGCAGAGGCAGAAAAATCTATTCAGTCATCTCCTGTCAGATCAGAAAAGGTATCTACCACTCTTTTTTTTTTTTTTCCTGCATTCAGAATGAAAAAGTTGTAAATCAGGTGAGATATGATGTGACAAAAAACTTAACAGGTTCATGAGTTGTGCTCAATGGACCACTAGACAAGGCACGAATTCAAGCATTCTGATACATGTTTCTTAACCAAAATTTCACGCAGAACATGATTCACACAATGAAAATTACTGAAATCAACTCCTAACAACGATATTAACGTTTTTATTTCACATAGGTTACGAGGAATTTGAACTGCCCACTCGCAAGAAACTCAAAGCTCTACATGAGTCAAATTGCGCATTTCAACGGTTTCAGCAAGCTTCTCAATCGAGCAATGTTCAGTTCCCACCATGTGTTGTTCAAACTATTAGCAATTTGCTATAGCTGAGCCAAAGCGCCAAGATTGAGGTTGTCAGATTTTTATATCGCAAGAGACTGTCATGATAACGTTTAGCGCGTGATGTGAATCAGGCAGAGTATTGAGTTTTCATGAGCGGGTGGTTTGAATTTATGCATCAAGAATCATTAAATATCTTCGTAAGGAGTTGATTTCGGTGATTTTCGTTGTGCGTATCGTGTTCTACGTAACATTTTGGTTAAGAAACATGTATCAGAATGCTGAAATTTGTACCTTGTCTAGTGGTCCATTGAACAGCCTTGTGCAACAATATTATTCAAACCTTTGAGTTTGAAACCACTTGATTTTTTGCTTTGTCAAGTTGACGTAGACAGTTTTTTGCACGCTTCTTGCCAGCTCACTCTTTAATTTATTTTTAAAGCCAAAAAAAAGTAACATGTGACTTAAACAATCCAAGTTTGGTGGAAAGATTTTTCCCTTGAAATAGAGTGTCAAAATTGTAGCAGAAGCAGAGTGTTGGTGCTTTTGCCAAGGTGCGTGAATATTCAGTTCATAACTGGAATCCTCACTACAGAAGGAAGGAGCTCATTTGAGCACAATTTTTCCTTGCAGAGGTGTGCTATTTGGTTAGACACTAGTGATGATCTATCTGAAAGGCAACTTCCTTCTATAATGAGAATTTCAGTTCTATTGTGAATTTAAACGCACATGTGCAAAATCACCAACGCTCAGTCTAAATGACTCATGCGTTAAACTGTAATCTATTCCAAGAAAAGTTTGGAGTTACCCGTTCATTATGTTATATTGTCATTGTAAATCTTATTGTTTAACTGGAGGATGATTTTTATTTAATTTTTCCATTTTCGGTTTAAAAATCCCGGTTGGCTGGTGGATATTTAAGGTGACTTTGGGTTAGTTCCGGGCTGGCCTCGTTCACACAGCAAAAAAACAATTAAAATGGGCTGATCTAAGCTCTAATGGGCCAGTATTCCTGTTCTCTTTTTCGGCACAAGTCCGCCCCTGACTACTGGAGTTGATTTTTTTCTCTTGCTAATCTACAAGCTGGAACTATCTAAACACAAGGCTGTAACATGCACAGTTGAGCAACTTTTCACTCTCTTAATTTATGACTAACTATATCCAATAAAATAGGAACAGTTCTATTATAACCAACCAAAGTTAGGGTCAATTTTTCTATTATTATCCAAAATCACAAATAGTATGCGACCAATAGGGGCTTTGTTTCCCCATGCGGTAAATGAGTATAGAGTTGAGGGTTTTTGACCCATCCTTCAAAATAGCTCCTTGAGTTATATCTCTAAAGTCAGCCAAGTCTAACTCCAGTTAACAGTAATCGCTTGAAAACTGCAAAGTTTGTTTTTACTTTTTTTCTTTTCACTTCATCCATCAGAGAACACATATTATCCACAAGTATACATGCATCAAAAAATGTCCTCTGTTGAACATTTCAACGAAAATCAAGTAACTCAGAGACCGTTGAAATAATTTCCAATCCGCATTAATACAATACCTTGCGCTTTGATTTATTTTTTTTAATGAGTGTTGAAGTGAAGTGCTTTGAAATAAGTGATTTTAGAGTTTCAAAGTTTCGCTCCGTTGTGTTTTGTTGTATTTGCTGTATTCATGACTCGGGCGAATCGGTACAGGATGAATGGGGCGAAGACGCGGTTGGCGAGCAAGGAGCGTTGATCAAAGACAAAGATGCTGTTGCTGCCCTCGAAACATCCCTCAAGTACCTTGAACAGCATGGTGCAGATCTCAAGGACATTGCTGTCATTAAGTATTGGCTCCACTTTGCCTCGTTTGAAGCGTCAAATGAACTTGCGTCCAGCTAGGAAGCTCAATTGATTTCATGCACAAAAAAGTTGTTTACTAACATTGTCTCCTCGGAGTTTTAATCAAATTACTAGATGCATCATTATCGGGCTATCATTCGCAAGGTTGCAAAAATACCGATAAAAAAAGCGCAACTGAATGATGCCCTGGTCGCAGAAATAAAAAAAAAGAAGAAAGAAGCCCTAAAACTCGCAGTCAAAGAAGTGCTTTTTTGAAGCATAAAAAGTATGACTGAATGACGAAAATGAATTGACACGTGTACGTTTTTCGTTCCCTTGTCCTGTTTGTCCATTGTTGAAGATTTTTACTTCTTCACGAACAGTGATTCCCCATTCCCCCCTCAATAATCTACTTATTGACCATTAAAAATATTCAGCTGCTGGTTAAGTTTTTCATTAAGTGAATCAGTTTCTCTCCTTCCAGTACAATATTTTTTTTCTTTCTTTCTTTATGTCAATTACAACGCCTAAGTTTGTAATAAGAAGACACTTCTATTCAACAGCATGAATTAAGTTTTTTTTTTTTTTTTTTGCGGCGGTATCAAGTCTGTATTCTATTTTTCTTTTTCTTTTGAAATTTTTCAATTGTATTCAGGGGACTTTAAGAAGTTTTGTCCTAAAGTTGTGATTTTATTGCCTCGGCTCATCTAATCTTGATCTCGACAATCAGGTATCTTATTCACCATTAATAGCTATCTAGTTGATATTAGCTTCAATTCTTTAAAATCTGACATACTAACCATACTACAATCTTGCTTCCTCTCTTATGGAAGGAATTTTTAGTTTCATTGATGAATTTAAGATAGCCAAAAACAAAACTGAAGTATTGAAAAACACTAAAATAATAAAAAAGCATTGTTAATAGTTCTTTAAGTGGTTTGTACTTTACCAAAAATGTTCAAGAAAATTTATTGTAATATTGTTGTGGCAAAGGTTTTTTAATCATTTCTTAGCTAAATTTTCATCTCTATTACATATGATCCGTGCCTATCAATAAATGTTTCCATAAATCATGATTTGTTTTTTTTCCTCCTTATCTGTTCATAACAAATGTATGTGAACGCATTCAACCAGAATTGATTAGTCGCCAAGAGTATAGCACAAATATGCCTTGCCTTTGCAGTAGCCAATTCCTTTCGAAGCACTCATTTCAAATATCATGTTTTGTGGTCTTGCTATGGTTTTACTATAATCGGATAATTTTTAACCATCTGAAAATACTACAGGTTAACATTGGTTCAGATAATCAGGCTCGGTATATCTTCGTTGTTCAGATTTGGTTTCCCACATCTAAAAAGTTTAAGGTTCCAAAAATTCTGTGTCAGAACTAGAATTGATGTCTTGAAAAATGAACAATGAGGTTGGGGAGAAACTTATGAGCGTCATTATCAGAAACATAGCTTCTGCGTATCCAGATAAATCAGGAAAATTAGGGCTAGTTAAGTTTTCCTCATCCTGCTTACCTCTGTGACCCAATCGAGGCGGGAAGTGGAAATGTTTATCACTCTTTCATTTTTATAAAGAAAAGAGAAAGTATCCAGAATTGAAGCTAAAGTGAAGAAATTAATTACCCTTTACTACTGATACTCAACAAGTTTGCCAAATCCAACTTCCTACGGAACTATTCTTTTAGCCCTCAAATCATTTTTCAGGAGAGGAAAGCAAATTAAAACAGTTTTAATTCAATTTCATGTTTCATCAGATTAATTATCTTCTTGAGAGGTAAATTAGAAACCCACCTTTTTGTTTAATAGTTTTTTCTCTTGAAATGACTATTTCTGCTGAGAGATTTAAGCAAATCCTATTGATAATGACTCCCTATATAATCGAGTTCACACGAATCCAAAAGAAGTCTTGATTTTCTCTTGAAGAAAATCGCTCAAATCTTAGTATATTCAGACTGAAGGAAATTTTTCTATGCCTGCCTGTATGCTAAGTATTAAAATGAAAATGTCGAGATGTGCCCTGAAAAGTGGGCCACAACATGCAATTTTCAGCAATCGATAAGATCGGGGCTAATCAGCCATCATTTCTTTTCTGTTCATAAAATGGCAGCCTGAGTTTTAAAGTTACTCGTACTTAATATTTTAGAAAGTCGTAAATTAGTAAAAATTCGTAATTTTTTTGTATTTTCGTAATATTATTTTGTATGAAGTGAACAATAGCTGAAATTTGGTTTTAAGGGTTAACATTCTACAGCAAAACCCCATCGGTGTTGTCAAGATCATTGTCCTGACAGGACCACCTATTGTCAGGACTCCATTTTCAGGGTGTGAAATCTTCTCGTGAGAAAAATTACATTCATTCACTTGGAGGTCTTTTGGTCTGAGGTATCATTTTTCAGCTTTCCAGTGCCCAATGATATTCATAAAACCCAAAGTTTACTAAACTGAAACTTTCTTTTTTATTTCCAGCTGCGAAGCAAAGAACGTGAGAAAAAAAGCAAGAGGTCCAAGGAGAAATTCACAAAAAACATATCGCCTGCTTGTATCTCAATAACACTTCCTAATGATAGAGTCGGGATCAACAAAGGTCAGTATCATTCATTCAACTCTTCCTAACGGGAGAAAAAGCTACTCAAAATCCAACCGATTATTAATGAACAGCTGAGTTGACGTATCAAAGCGATGCCTGAAACTGAGATCAGCCGATTAGCAAATGTCGTTTCCTCTGCCACGCTTCGTCATCAGACCTGGCCAAAAATATCTTTTCAGAAAGGTCCCATTTTTGGACTTTGGGTTCTGGAAACTGGGTTCTTTTGCCATTTAAGGTGTAAAAAAATCTGACAAAATTCTTAGAAACTTAATTCACTCTGTACTTTCAAATATCAAATTAAAAGAGGGTGCTACTGACCTATCATACATTTCACACTGTCCAGTCTGGACATCAGTCATTTTAGATTTAACAATATAATAATAATGTCAGAAAATGGTAGCGGGATCTTTGGCAGCTAATGATTGGTACTAAAATTAGCTGGTCAAGCTACTTATGTATGTAGACTACAGAAAAGAAAACTTAATCACATCATTTTCCCATCAAGTAGAGAATGTCCTAAAGAGAGAATAGTTGGAATGAATGGAAAATTTCAGCTCTATAAAATTTTAAAAAATGTTTGTGAAAGAGTATTCAGAATACAAGATAATGGTCGCGGTAATCTTTAAAGAAACTCAACTAGGACCCCTGACTGTCAATTTATTTGAATTAAAGTAATATTATTTACTTGTTACTGAATTTTGTTTGAGGATCTTTGGGAATATCCTATCATCTCCTGGCATCACTCAGAGGCATCGGGTCTTTGATTTTTTTACTGATAAATTTTATTAGATTATTTTTTATTCCATGATTGACAAAGGGATTGATACTACTCCAAAATGTCCGAAGTTTTTTTCTCTGCTTTTGGTTTACTCTACCCATATGCATGTGTTCTTGTTTCATTGAATTTTTGTCATTTTCGAAAATATGCTATCCAGTTTTGGCATTTTGCAGCCTCACAAGGCCCACTACTCAATTTTGACTTTATTTGTAATACTCTGTTCAGATGGTAACATTTCTGAAACGTGGCTGGATGACTCTGAAGATGAAGAAGTTAAAACGGAAGTGCGGCCATCCATAGACATTCTCAAACTGTATCAGTCGTCGAGGAGAGAAGGCCCCTTATCTAGTCGCAGGAATCCTAATCGCAGAAGTCCGAGCCGAAGAAGTATAAGTCCTCCAAGGAAGAAACCAACTGAGTATGAAGATGAATACAGTGGAGATGGTGATGGTGACTCCATTGAATTTAACATGTAAGTTTTTATTTCCTGACGGCTCAAGTTAATAGCAGAATATTTTTTATTTTTTCCGCATTTCATGTTGCATCATTTCTTCATTTGTAAGTCCCAGTTAGGTATATATATCTATCTCTTAATTATTTTTTGATGAAAATTCTTGCTTTTCTATCTTTCTTACATCTTCTCTTCCTTTCTTATGCCTTTGATGTTTGATAATTTTGGAGTAAAATTCAACGTTTTCAATACTCGAAAGATTGAAAATCTGCATCAGACAGAATGTCTACCACTGTGGAAATGGCACTTATTTTTTTTGGGCGGTCTGAAAATACTGAAAAGTAGGGATATTCCACAAGAAGGTTTGGAATTTTTCGCTTCATGCTATGCAAATTTAACAAGACAGCCTGAAAACTGTGCCTTGCGCATTGATTTTTGATGCATTATATGCTCTCTAGATTGCAATTGTGCAGCCAATTGATCTTCAAGCCACTACGATTCCGAGTTTTGTGACTAAATCAATTTGCGCATGAATTTTGAATTTTTGAAATTATTCGAATTCCATCTCCTAAAAGTACTGGAAAAGAACTGAATTTTTCTGTTGAGAAGGTTTTGACTTTTTTGGGAAAGTACTGTAATAATGCTGATTTTTTGCCAGCCAGTCTTAAAAGATTTGATGGTCAGATGGAAAAAGCTTGCTGTGTCTTTTTCTGTAGCTCTCAGTAGTAGACTTCTTTCATCCAAAAATCCCATATTTTTCCATCACAAAGTATAATATTAAATTGTTGCAATTTTAGCTCTGAAAATTCATTACCGGACGAAGACCTGGATCCTGAGCCGAAGAAGGAACCAAGCTTCATTGTGACATTAAATAATCTAGACCCCATGATTAAAGCTCGTGCTGAGTCTGAAGAATCAAAAGCTGTGAACCGAGTGAAGCCTCAACGGATATACCCTGAAAAACTTGATGAGTCAAGCAATGAAACTACTCTCCCGATGATTCACAAAGCTGTCTCACCTGTCATTATCTCTGTGTCGCCATCGTCACCAGAGAGCAGTGATGAGACTACTCTTAAAAAGACAGTTCCAACCGTGAGCAAGCCTGTGACAACATATGTGGCACCCAAGGTTTCCGCTACGAATAAAGTTGCGGATGTCTGTAAATTTTGGCCCAACTGCCTAGCAGGCGACAAGTGTCCCTATGTACATATAAGCACTCCCTGTGTGTGAGTATTCGTTTTTCTTTCCTTGGACTACATTGATTTTACTGAGCAGGTCTCTTTGAAAATTGAAGTAAACGTTAAAGAAAAGTAATGTTGAGTGCTTTTCTTGAAAAGGGAGTGTGATCAATGTATTTCGATTAAAAATGAAGGAATTGTAAAGATATTTCCAACATCTTTTCCACAGGATATATCTTAACATAGAAATTATGAAGCATTAACCAGAAGTTGAAATGCTTAGGTTCTAAATTATCCATGAGCTTTATTACATTTGTTAAAACATGACACGTTTTAGTATGATTATGAACGTAAGACTTACTGAGAAATGAGGAAATAGAAAAAATGTGAGTGATCCTCTGGCTGTTCTTCTCATCCATTGTTGAGATTGATCTCAACGATGTCACAAAATAGTCGCTATGTTCATGCCAAAGAAAGCAGTCAGAGAATTAACTTGAATATTGTCTGGCAGAATCTGAAGCTGAAGGAAATTTGAAGTTTTTTTAAACCACAGTAAAACTTTGCTTTAACTATAGGCCTGTAGACATGGTACAAATTAAAGCAACATACAGCATGATTTCTACTCAACATTTTGCTCTGAGCGTCAAACAAGTGCAGTTGGTTTTGCAAGAAAGGAGAGATTTGTCTGGAGCTCAAAAATATGAAAAATTTCACACTTCTGAAAGGCTTAAAACTGATGTGTGATTATCCATTGTTTGGATAATTTTACAACTTTTTGACTAGTTCTTTAAAATTTGTGAAGTTAAAGTTAAAATCTCTATCTATGGAAAGTTAATCCATTGCATGTAATTTAGTTGCATCTTAATAATTTAATTGCAGCTAAATTAAAAAGAATCACACTTTTTCTTTATTATTTGTAATTTAAAGTGTTCCTCTTGTTCTATTTCAGTAATTTCCCCAACTGTAAGTTTGGTAATCGCTGCTTATACACACATCCTAAGTGTAAATTTTTGACGGCCTGTGTTCGAAAAAATTGTCCGTATTCACATCCTGTCTCCAGTAAGTAGTTAAGCGTCTAATGTTCATTTAATTCAATTAATGCTGAATGAAATTTGCTGAAGTAGTTTCAGGAATTTTGCGAAGCTCAGTATTAATTAAGTAATTTTCCATGAAATGCGCCCGATTGCATTTTTTTTATAACTTTAATGAGGATGTTTGCTACTCCTCTAAGTTCAAAATTTCAATATAATTCAGAAAAACTTGATTTCAGGAAACTGTAAGAATCAGTTGTATCCTAATTTTGCCAAAAACCGCAAGTGTTATAAAAAAATCATGACTACCAGCAAAATTGCAAAAATTTGCTAAAAATCTCAAGCACCTGTCAAAAAATACAAGTAGGCAGGAGTTAAAAATAAGAAACACCCTCATCTAGGCCTCTTGATTGTTACCCTTTTGAGAGTCGGGGGTTTAGGCCTAATGTCAGAACAGATCTCTATTGTTACTTTTCATTAAAAAATACACAAAAACCTTTGGGACAGCATGTATGTACTCTTAAAGTTTCAACATCTAAGTGTCCTTGAAATAAGAGGAGTAGACGGAAGGAAGAGAACTAAACTAAAAACTTAACTCTAAACTTGTGCTTTTTTCATGTTTGATTTCTGCATGTAGATCTAAATTTGTTTTGCCTTGATTTTCAGGTTTACCTTTATCTTCTCCTGCTCTTAGTAGTCAACAGTGTAAATACTTTCCACAGTGCACAAAAACTGGCTGTCCTTATTTTCATCCCAAGGTAAGTTTTAGTCAGAAAATTCACAGTTTTTCTTATTTCCATGTTGATTCCAAAACAGTTTTTTGAAAATTTCTGCGAATAGTGGGAAAGAATTCCCGGGGTCTTTAAACTGATTGATATGTTTTGCAAATGAATAGTATCTATTGATGAAGGTCGATCTCTCAAACCATAGGTAACCAGAATGAAAGATTTTATAATCATATATCGCTTTTTAAGATTTTGCAGTTTGTTCAACTCTGCGAATTCTATCACCTCTGGTCAAACTGCTAGTTACGTTTAACAAGAGAATAAAAACACGAAAGTAGTTTCACACTCCAAACTCCTGGTCCCCAATTGGCAGGTTTCGCAGTCCACCCTTTAAGTTGCTTCATCAATTTTTGTGTTCTTTGGTTCTTCTCAAGAATTATACGTTACTTATTTTAACATCTGGCGAAACTATTTGCAACTGATTATCACAAGTAGTCAATTGAAGTTTGAGAGGTTATGCGCCTGTAGTTCGTGGCATTTTGTCGCTACGTTTTTCAAAACAATAGGACAAAAACCAGAGGTTGAATGTGCCCAACAAACTGCGCACGGTGGATTGAGTCAATTAGAGAGATCAGACATGAAATTTATGACTAATACTGCAAATTTTGGTGTTTATTTTTTCGCACTTTAAATTTCAAAGGAAGCTTCTAAAAAAAAATCTCACGAGGAAACCAACGGAACCACTTTTGAACCTCAAAGTTTTGTATAAACGGAGTCATAAGCGTTTAAAGTTTGCAAATTTTGTCCGGCCTTTCCTATTGACTTGATCCATTGTGTGACGAGAGAACGGATTATTTTTTGACGAGAGATTAAGGGCATGACTGCTGGTTAAGTATCTAGCAGATTTGACCATAGAGGATAGAAAAAGAAGGACGATTATCAACAATGAAGATAGACCTAGACAATTATCTTAGAACTTTATATCAAATGTATGGTGCAGTCAAATTTTTTAAGGATGATTTAAAATATCTGACTGTGAGAAAAGTTTTTGGAGAGTCATATTTTTTGTCATTAGCAATTTTTTGAGGTATCTAAATAGTGTATTTTAATGTCCTAATTCAGTTTTATTTTTTTCTGTTTCAGGTGTGTAAATTTGGACCAAACTGTGTTACGAAAGACTGTATCTTTGCCCATATATATTCTTCGTCAGGAAACAAATTCAAGTGGTCTAAATCTTCAAGCAGCCAACCGCTCTCAATTTATTTATGAGATAATTTTATCCGCTAGTTACCGTCACTTTATCATACTCAATTCAACCTCTCGTGAGGTCAACTCAACAGTTAAGAGTGTTAACTGACTCACAGAAAAAAGTATGAGTTAGTAGTCATAAATGTGAATACCAACAAATAAGGTAACACAAAAATGTTTCTTTTGGGAACTGAGAAAAGAAAAATAGAAGTCATTAAATTGTTCTTTGTCATGTTCAACTAGTATTAAAACTGATATTGAGACCTCCTGTGCCATTGTGGGGTATTCCATACCTCCCAAACTTCCCAGTGATAAGGTGATTGCAGCAGCTTGCCCTGCCACCAAACCCACCGCCCACAACAGAACATCGTCAATAATATGACCAATTAATTTTAAGAATTTTCTATGTTTATGTACGGAACTTTATTTAAAAACTTATAAAAAAACCGCTGCTGATATTTTAGACGTGATATATCTCGTAACAAGGAAGATATCCTCAAATTATTAAGGTTATTAAGGCAGCAAATAACTCTTAGAAGGCGCTTGAAGTCTTAGGTCTCACATCACCATAAACTCCAGGGCCTAATTTTGTTGGTTTATGGTCAACCACAAGTTGAGAAACTTTTATATTAATCTCTAAATTCGACTTTAAGTTGCAAAAATCATATTCTAAACTCAAACTATACACAAGTTCAGCTTTTTTAATGGCAGGCTCGAGCCATTCTTAGTTCCTCAACTGTGCAAAACATTAATCAAAAACATTGATCAAATAACAAAGTCGACGTTCATGTCAAAACCTTCAGTCGCACATAAACTGGTCAATAAGATTCTGGCCTAGCTTGTTAACTTCGCTGTAAATGTATGTTTTTAAAAACACAAGTTGATTTTTTTCTATTAAATTTGATGAAAATGAATGCTTTTGTAGCATTGCATTTTATAAAATTCTAATTTTTAAAAGACAAAACATTGTTAATTCCTGCAAAATCTTGCCACGTGCATAATATTTTTTGTATGTATTGAACATATAACTGATTTTTACAAAGAACTATGTATCTTTTTCAGTTCTTTAAAATTTGTTGGTATTCATGTAGGTTTTGTTATATAATTGTAATTGCAAGAAAATCATCTTTCTCTCAAACCAAATAAATCCAGGTTTTTAAAAGTTTGATTTTTGTGTGTGAATTTTGATTCCCTCGAAAGCTTCTTCTTATTTTTCTAGTTTTCTTGAAGAAAGTTGGTTTTTTTCAATTTTCCAGGCAAATAGACACGAAATTAATTTTTTTGCATCATATTCATGATGTTAATGTTAATGGTGTCAAACTGCTTATTAATTTCTGAAAAAGAAAAAAAAATAAAACAATTTCAGGAATATCTTGTTAATTTAAAAGTGCTCCATACAACATAATAGTGAATTTCAATCCATTGTATGAGAAGCCTATTTTATCCTGTGCTCTCTGGAAGGAATTTGTATGAAAATTGTAGTAATTGAATATTTTTAGAAGATAGAAGTTGTTTCCAACGCATTCTTATCTTCAAAAATACTTTCTTCATTCAAAACCAAATTTGTTACTTATAAGACAGTAATAAGACAGGTATCTTATGTAGTGATTCATTAATTAATTATGGAAACTGTTTAACCAGACCCCCAAAGAACTCTTTTTTATGGAGGCGACAAATTTAGCATTTTTCTTTTGTGAGAATATTTCTACCAGTCTCTTCTTATCTTAATCTCTCAGTATTTTGGAAGATGCTTTATCAGCATCAACAAATTTTATAGGAATTCAAATTTGCATGAAATTTTGTCAAAGAAATAGGTATAAAAGTGAGTTATTTTTCCAGGATCATACCTGAAACACGAACCGATTTGCCAGGCACTAACGCGGAATTCATACACATACCTTGTTAATACACTAATTAAGAATAAACGCCATATGAGCATTCGGATGTTGCCAAATTTTCTGAAAATACTTATTTTTGAAGGAAGAATGAATATTTTTCTTTGAAATTTTCAGACACTTCAGATTAAATTATGGATAAAATTAACCGAAAAATTTGAAGGAAAATAACTACATATACTCCTGATAATTCATGATTTGTCGGAGGAAATTTGGCGACATTTGAAGGCTCATGCGGCTTTCTTTCTAGCAGGGCATAATAGGAGGCCCTTTTATAAAAGATCATTGTGAAAGAGCTCTCAAAAAAGCTCTTTCCCTGTAGATGCACTTTTTTTAAAAACATTGGTTTTAGAATGTGTACCCATTTGACATTTTCTTTTAACACAGTTTTTAAGGCAAGTCAACTCTCACCGCTTAGTAAAGCAATTTACGTCAAATATTTTGCATTCCTGCTCATTTTGATGTTACTATTCAGTTCACAAATCGGAAAAACTCCAGATTTTTGAAAAAACTTCTAAATTTCAGCTCATTGTTCCACGATTGAGCACAGAGGAGAATGCATGAGCGCCGCCGCCCGCGGCGCACTGTGGTCTTAAACTAAAGAATTGGAAGAAATAAATCGGATAATGACTGAAAGATCACGAGAGTCTTTCTTCTGATGTTTTTTTAAGTCGCTTATTTCGAATTTGATGTCAAATTGGCTACATTTTAACACCCTGACCTATTTGTGGGTAAGTTTATGGCGCGCTGCTAGCTCGAAACGCGCACCAACGCCTACAAACCTAAGGGGATACTTCAAGCATCGCGCAATGCGTGAGGTAGCCCTTTAGGTTTGTAGGTGTCAGTGCAAGTTTTGCGCTGGTAGCACGATTGCCGCGGCGCGCGACGGGCGGGTAGTAAATGATTTTTTGCCGGGAGAGCTCCCTGGCGGAGAAACTCGTCCATCATGTAATTTTTTTTTTTTTTAAATTTTTTATATGTTTTACTTCTAAAATTACAGTGGGAAGTAATAAGTGAACTCTCAACGCTAGATGAAGTGTAATAGTGAAAGGCAGGTCTTGCGCCATGCGCGCTGCGGACCAGACGGCGGCGCAGGGCGGCTCATAAAATCTTCCTCTTTGCTGCTTGATATTTGAATTTACCGCCAGAAGTTGAGCGTCAGCGTTGATTTGTTTACAAAATGGCTACTTGTTTGGTGTTTTGTATTGGTTTTGTTTGGTTCCCTCGTCCACTTGCTGTTATCACCAGAATGAACAGTAGTATCCAGGGTGTTTGAACAAAGTGATCTTCCATTTATTTCCTTAGACTTAATTTTCTTTATCGTTGATTTTAGCATCACGACCTGTTCTTAGTTAAGTGCTGAAGACTTTTCCTAGTCCCTCCAATTGTTATCACTATCCAAAACTCAAGGTTACTGATCTATCTCCAAGTCTCATATCAGCCAAGTATTTCATTTTCCTCCTCTCTCAAGATATTTTGTCTGAATTTTTAAGGGAATGGAAGGCTGGTTGCATGTATCTATAATGACGTTGATGTTGAATAAAGTCTCGTTTTCTCAAGCCTTCTTAATTAAAGTGCTCAACTGACAGCCCTAAAATGGCAGAGAGGTCTCTCACATACCCATGGCTCATTTCAATATTGCAATCATCGGTTTTCATCCTTTTCCTCCATGGCCAAACCTCAGGAGATGATACTAGTTATTCGGCAGTTGTTGATCTCGGGAAGGAACACATTCAAGGTAAGGTATTCTCTTGCTCTTCTTACGTGATTCCAGAACAGACGCTATTAGTGGCACGTCACAAATAAGCGATGTATATCAATTAATCCGCATCGGTAGCATTGAAAGAGGTTACGCCGATGTTATTGTTTGGATCCAGTTCGATAAAATGGAGAATCTTCATGCTGACATTGCCACCTATAGCGTCTATATCAAAACACTGCACAGTACCCAGCATTGATTGAAAACAAAGTTTGGAAGAGTGTAGGTACTCAGACTGGTAACGGTATCAAATAAATACGAAAACTGATATGACATTATGCACTGTTTATGAGAAGCGCAGATGAGGGTACAGATAAAGCCTATGGCTCTTGGTTCCTATACCAAAGTCTTAATATCACATTATACAGGAATTTCTTTGCACCTGTAAACAATCATGTAGGATTGGAAATTTTGTCCCCTATTGATGATAATGCAATTTGCTAATTGCAACTGAAAGGGTAATCTCTTGACACTTAAGTGAAAAAAAAAAAACGAAGTGATGGTGGCAATTCAAAACCAAGTATCTAGACTTGCTATGCTGTGTTTTTTCCATCACACTTTACTATTTCAAATGACAGTTGATCATAGTTCACCAAACTTTGTGTGGGTTTGCCTCCCTTTTTCAGGAAAATTTTAATTTTGTACCAAACATGTAACAGAAGTGATAGATGAGTTGAATGAAAAGTGTGACCCTCTGAATTGGTTACCATGGCATATTTTGGTCGAATCATTACATTTTTCTCCCTAATTTCCTTTTTGATTCCAGGTAACAGCTCAAAATGTGGTTTTTTTGGGCCCATAGAGAATGGAAAAATTGAACTGTCTGCGTATGATGAAAATGAAGTCCGCCAATTCTATACTGTATCTTGTCATCCAGGGTTTGAACTCAATGGACCATCTCGGCTTGTATGCGAAAAAGGAGTTTGGGTGAATTCCTCATGGCCCTATTGTGTCCAAAGTATGCCTCTTACTTTTCTCTGTACATTTCCATCCCTTACCAATGGTCTTTAACTTCATGGCTGCGGCAGTTCTCTCAGTCTCAAAATTCTAGGGCATCCAAAAGCTAATTACTTAGATTAATTAATTAGATTAATTTCTCATTAATTTATGAACCTACTGCATTCATTTAAAAATGTTTTAAAAAATCATTTAAATTTCTTCCTAGAGTTTCTGTCATGCTAGGTGATTTTTTTCTCTCCGTTATAGCAGCTTTAAATGTATCATTATTTTTGCTGGGCAGTATATTTGGTGTGCCTCAGTTGGGTTATCAAGGATTCTTTTCCTTATTTATTGGCGCAGCTATGTCAGCCAGTCATATTTAGCTGAGGAAAGTTAATGATTGTCCTGTAAGCTTTGAAAGAATATTGAATAATGATTCTACTTATCCAATTGTAGGCAAATTATAGATCACTCAGATCTTTGATCTCTCTCTGTTTTGTTTTGTAAATCTAGCTGAATGAAGAAGCCATTCTAGACAGGACTTTCAGTAAATGCTCACCCTTATTTGTTTCAGAATGTGTTGCACCAGAAATGATAATGAATGGTGCTGTTGCAATCGATGGACGAAGTAAAGAGGATGGATTTTTCCTGCCTAATGCAAAAGCACATTACATGTGCCAAGATGGATTTTTCCTCTCACCAAGCATTTCAAAAGAGCGACAATGTATCAATGGTTCTTGGAGTGGAAGAACGCCAGTTTGCAGTACGTTTTCTCCTAGATTTGTGAAATAAATCAAAATAGGCCTGTTGCACGCAAGAGAAACAGCTAACTGAATATACTTCCTGAGGGTAAATTCACTCGAAAATCTTGTTGGGCACATCTGAAAAGTATGAAATCCACCCTAGTATGCAATCTGTGTAGTTTGTAACAAGCTTTTTCAAACTTACTGCTTATGCGGGCAGATTTTTCTTGGTGGCCGGCAGTCAGGTTTACGTGGAGAGAGACCTAACTTAAATGAAGAAACAATCTCGAGAACTGTAATAAGCTCTCCTTCCATAAGATTTCAATTGATTCGAAGCTCTTGTTTTTGCAAAATAAAGAATGAAAAAGGACATACGCTCGCTTAAATGCGATTGAAATTATACGTTAGAAAAAGTAAGTGAAATAGTTTGTTTACTTAGGTTCGTTTTTCTTACTCCTCTACCTGCACAATCCTGGTCGGGGGTGACTGAGAAAAACTGCCCGCAGATGCAGGAAACTCGAAAAAGCAAGTTACAAGCTTCGCAGATTTCGTGCTATGGAATGGATTCTAGCCTTGTATGACGTGCCCAACGTGATTTTTGAACGATTTTATCAGTAAAGAGTATATATTTATTCGGCTGTATCTAACAAGTTGGAGAAATGGTGCTGGGTCCACACCAATTCGAGGAGAAAACAAAGCCAAAAAGTTCCAAAAATTTCAATCAGAGTTGAGACATTTTTTTTAAGCTCTAATGAGCACCATGAGGGGGGAGAGAGTTCAGCTCAGGCAGCTTGAGTCGGACGGAGCGGAAAGGACGGGTAAGGATCATGACTCTGAAAACCTTACGGGAAATTTTGAAAGTTGAGTCCCTGCCGAATTAGTTTATGCTGTTTTAGAGTACGATAGAAGATCCGCCATCCTGATTTTTGCATTTGCTTCCAATGCTAAATTGAAGACAGCTGATCTGCTGTCATGCTCAGAAGTGTGTAAATTTATTTGTCGTGAACTAACTGGATCCTATGTCATTTAAAAATAGAAAGATATATTGATTTTTCAAACTATGAAAATAGAACTAGTCAAGAGACGAGCTCCACTGACACAAAATACTTCATTTTTAGTATCACTGCTCTTTTAAAAATTTCACACTTATTTCTCTCTCTTTTCTTGCAGTACGGACGCAATGCAATCCTCCAGAACCTCTTGAAAATGGTTATCTAGTGGACCGGTATCACAAAGGAGGCGTTTACTCAAATGGAGACATAATTCTCTATGGATGTGAAGAGGGTTTTACTTTGGAAGGTTATTCCGCATCAGTGTGTAATGGAGAGGGTGAGTGGACTCCCAGTGCGAATCGGAGGTGCGTCAGTAAGATTGAAGTAGAGTTCAAAAGCAAATTGGGTAAGTCTCTTCTCACGGAGATATTCCTTCAACTTAAGTAATTTTTTTCAGTTTGATGGAGGTCCTGACAGTGAACAAGAACATTATTCCGATCAAATTAATAAATTGCATGTATGAATAGTTTTGAATTATCATAACAAAGCAACTCTTTTAGGTGGTATAGATAATCGATCTGCCGTTCATGCTTGTCTCATTTTTTTAAACAATTCAATCAAACTGTAGAACTCGATGTAGTCTGGGAACTATCAATCCCATTTGCACAGTACAGGAAAGTGATGTTTTCAGAAAATTCGAGATCAATAACTGTATATAAGATAAAAGCCGTTCAGAGTGAAGAATGCTGGGAGAGTTGCATTCCCTCCAGCATTCCTATTTTTCTAAAAAAAAGTGGGCGGATCTTAATTTAAAACTTGTTCACTGAGCAGTTTTACTTTGTGATGATGTTCAGTAAAATTTACAGAGAACACAAAAAAATTAAAATCTCATAACTCATCGGGGAAATTAGCCAATGGTAATTCTTTTAAGTTAAATTTCATCCATTCCAGATTTTTTAACTGTGAACATTTGCTCTTCTTTTCTTTGAACAGCTGAAGCTCCTGTTTGCCCTCCACCGCCTAACATTCCTTTCGTCAAATTCACACGGGTAGAAGGCATGCAAATAGCGAATAATGTTTTGTCAGGAAGTATGTTCCAAGCACACTGCCAACCAGGCTACCAAAATGTTCTCTCGCCTTGTGTTCCTGCGATTTTTACCTGTAACAATGGTGTTTGGAAAGGAGAAATTCCCAAATGCGGTATGTGTCATTTGATTGTAAAAATTAATTTTTTATCCACAGTTCAAATTCTAGGTGCGGTAGCCACTTAGGCTCAATACTCTTTTACAAACCAATCTGGATTTATTTTCCTTCCAGATCGGCGTTTGTCAAAGGGATACCCTGTAAAACAAAAATTTGAACAAACCCTCTACTTGTCCATTCAGTTTTTTTGTGGTATGTTTTCTGCATGTTTTAATAGCTCTTTTAGCTGTGAATAACTCTCTTTTAAGTACCAAGTATATTTTAGTCCAAACCACTAACCAGAACAATACTTAGACGTGATAAGAAGTGAAATTTTATGTTTCAGTTTCATATCACCACCGCAACATTTTTCTAGTCTTCCTACTCTGTCAGTTGTCCAAGCAGTGTAACCCTAAAGTGAATCAAGAGCCGCTCCCATTACATCAGACCCATTGTCTTGCGCTGTAATTTTAACCCCATATGCTTACACACCTATGTAGTTCCTAACATGTTTCCAAAAGAAGTCACGTCTGATTGTATTATTTTGCTTTCAGAGAAAGTAACCAGTTGTGTTGAACCAGTGAGTGTGTCTCAAAATGGTCTTCGATTCAACGTACCACTAGGAACTGAAATGTCAGGGTCTTTCAGAATCGGTTCAAAAGTGATTTATGATTGTCTGCCGGGTTATATCCTTCACGGAGAAGCTGTTCTCACTTGTTCCAAATCCGGGTGTTGGGAACCCAATGCACTGCCTAAATGCCTTCCTCAAGCTCAGTTGCTCCCAACGTGTAAGTATGATCATGAACTGTGTTTCTAAAACAAAGTATGCTGAGAATCCTGCATAGTCAGCTTCATAAAAATCTGTCAAAAGTTGTTAAAAGGGTCCACACTAATCTTGGTGAATTTATGTCAGATGCGAGATACATCAAGCACAACAGACTGCTTAGTCTGTTTTACTGACATTAACTAGCCAGTCCTTTCTTCTATTGACTTATTGTGAGCTTCTTCAACACAAGAAATATACACAATGTGCCCAAAATAAGGAGTACTTACAAACGACCTAATAATTCATATCTTCTTTACAATTTTGATGTAACAAGTGCTGAATGTTTTTTGACAAAGAAGGGGTGATCAGAATCTAGAATAAACTTCAGAATTTTTCCTATCATAGGTTTTTTTTTTTTTTCCAATCAGTTTTCTTTTATTCAAATTATGGATCCTTCATGCAGACTTGACTTACCTGAACACCAAGGATTTTCATCAACAAGCCATGTTTTTGGCCATTTAGTATACTTTTGGTACTATCTGCTCAATCTTTCCCTTGTCAGGTTGTCAACACACCCACACTATGAAAATTAAAGTTGTTCAAAGTATGGATGTCTGTTCAAAAATTAATTGACTGTTCCCAACTACATTTGAAATAACTACTTTTTGTTGTTTTTTAGTCAACGGGCGTCCAGTAGACTACGTTAGCGGCACTCTTTTAGTAACTCTCCTCACTGCTGTAACTATACTCCTGGTCTTGCTTGGTATTTGCTTGGTTTCTATGCGCCAAAGGGCACCGCCACCTGCCATCACAACTGTGCCTCCACCCACGCTCCTCCAGTCTCACCCTGACAGATTGGCACTCATCGCATTTACAGACGCCGTTCAAGTTGGACAGGTATGGACAGTTGCATGATGCTGTGTCAAAAATATCTATAGCTCCTTCAAGGACGGATTAAATTAAAGATGCAAAATTTACTTTATTTGAATGATAATATAATATTGTCTCTAGAAAAGTTGAGCCGTTTGCTGTTCATCAAGTTCATTTCTCAAATTTCAGATTTTTGGATCAATTAGGACCACAACTCAATCGGGTATCAAAATGTCTGAGTAATGGGTCCACAGGAAAGGGAACAGCAATAATCCAGAAAACTTATGTCCTTTTTTCTAATTTACTTCTTTCCTCAATATCGTAGTCTGTATCATTCGTTCAGTGCCTGCAATGAATGAAACAAAACTGGTTCATATTTTCACGGAATATGAGAGTTACTGCTCTTCTTTGAAATTTGTTTTCCCTTCGCACAGGAGTTTAATTAACTGCTTCCTTTATTTCAGTCTGGCCTGCCAAGCTACGAAGAGGCGACTCGTGATCGGTTTAGTCATCGATTTCATCGACCTCCCCATTGGACACAGCCTTCACGTCGTGCTGTCACCCGGCAGCCTTCCAGGTAATTTCTGAGTATTAATCCATTGCTCTTCCAATCTAGTGTATTGTCAAAGCGATAAAATGACTGCAGAGAAGTTTAACGTATGAGGTCAATTAACTTCACTCTTTGTAATGAATGCATTGTTAAGCTCGGCTTCTTGGGAAAAAGTATGGTCATTTCAACCATAAGTCTGACTGATTTTGTAGAGGTTATAAAAAATTGGTACCTGTAAAATAAAGTATGATGATTTCACGTAAATTTGTGACTGATTTTGGTTCCATCCAAAAATGTGAAAGAATCAACCAAGATCCAGATGTTACTACTACTCCTCTAGCTGACGCCAAAATCGGTCAAGAATTTAATCAGAATCATCAAGTTTTTTTTGTGTTCCATTTTTAAATTTCTCTGCCAAATGACATTTTTTTTTATTGATGTTGATGTATATGAACCATTTTTTCTGTATATTTGAGTCTCAAATTTGTCTCTGTCAAACACATTTTGTGCTGCAAGAAATTAAATCTCCAAATGGTCTCTTGAAATAGCTACTGAAATGACAATTTCAAAACCACTCATCAAATTCATCCTAAACGAAATGAGTTTTATTGTATTTTATGTTATATGGTCCAAAGATTTTTAAAAGAACTTGATTGTGCTTTTTTCCAGTGTTGGAGGTGACTCAATGGGATCTACTGATACTATGACCAATGATTCTAACTCAACCAATGTAACACTGGACACAGTATCTTCTCACAGTGGCTCTCAGACTGCATCATGTCGCGCGATTTGTGGATCATTGGCCTCTTTTGACACGTCCTCCGTCATCAATACTGAAGGTAAGCGATTCAATTACCCCGCAACATCGACCGAGTGAATTGATAAATGAATTTCTTCAATTAGCTCCGGAAATAAAATACCAAAATTATTCATCACAGACAAGCATTCACACAGATCAAGCAAATTCAAGAAACAAACGTCACCTCTCATAATCCTTTATCGAGAGTGCACCGACGGAGCAACAACTTTTTTTACAGAGGTTTTTCTCTTCACTATTCTTTTCAATTTTGCTTTTTATAAATATCATTTTCCTCTCAAATATTTAGATTGTGAATAGGAGGAAACTAATTTTCATGAATCAAAGAATCTAATTTTTTTTGAATGTTGAATGCATCGCTCAATTTGACATTCGTTCATTTTATGAGATAGTTGAATCTGTTTCAGCAGGGATTTTCAGCACAGCACTAATATCCAACATTTTATCTAATTTAAATTTTTGGTGGATAATTATAGGTGTTCCGTTACTGGAGGAGAGTGAACAAGAAGAAAATGCCATCAAAGACAATGAGAGTGGCTCATTTAAATCAGCCCAGCGTGTGTCACCGGAGTTAACGTGATCCTTTCTCGCCTGAAGGAACATATCACTTTTTTGACAGTTCCATGACTATTGGTCTGTATCTGCTCTGGCGGTCTTGTGTCTTCTTTGAAGGCTAAATCCTTCTCACTTTCCCTTCACTTTTCCTGTCGTAAATTTCGTAGGAAGGAGGTTGACAGTTGACAGTTCTTACCAAGGTCTCATTCAATTAAAGTGGTGCTTATGTGTGAATGTCAGAAACCTTGAGGAAAAAGGAGATGATATCGGTGAGTTTTTCCTAATTTTTGGAATATATTTGCGGGGTTGAGAAACCTTTAAAGAATGTCAAGCATTAAGAAGTTTCGTAAAAGTTTTCATGAGGTGATGATTTATGGATCACTAAATTTAATTCAAACTAACATGAAGAATCTCAAGATTTTCAAAATGACTTTATCTTAAATGCAGTTTTCAGTCGTAAATTTGAATGATGGTGTTTTTTCTTAAAATTTTTGAGAGTCTGTGAAAAGTATGGTATTTTGATGAGGCTTGTGTTATACTGATCCTTAAACTCCAAATGTGGTACTAACATGTTAACTGCCAAAATCGTTTCCGTGAAATAGTTCCTGCTAGGCTTGGAAAACACGGCAAAAAAACGTGAGAATTTGAATTCTTCAAACTACGGTTTTTGCCCATTGCGGGATTACTAGTGCTTCCCATCTGTTGCACACATAAGTAATATTCTACCATGAGTTCATCAGAGAGCCTGCAGACAGTGTCTGTGTTGCACAGCAGCGTGATGACAACCTACCATTAAAAATGCTGGCTAATGTGACTGTTTTGGTCTACCATGGCCAACAAAAGAATAGTCTCAATAGCTGGCTAAGCATTGAATGTGATGCATTGTAAGAACGAATTTGCTTTTTGTGTTTTAAAATTAGACTTTGTAGTACATCCGTTCCCAGTTAAAAGTAATTCATTCCTATAGTATATAAGGATTCTGATATATTTTCAGATTAGACATTCGATTTTCGGTAGAAGAATTCTTATCATCAAGCTCTTTATTCAGTCAAATACCTAAGTCCCAAAATTAGAAGGTGTTATCTCCTAAATGTTTTTTTTACGTACTACATCGATTTTGAGAAAGAATGTTCGTTTTGGGAAATTAGAATTGATTTTATCAATTTTTTTAGTGGTCAATTGTTTTGCTATTCTCATCAAGTTTCAACATTGTTTACAACAACTCCATACACAAAAAGCAAAAAAAATGTTCTCAATTAATAGGGGGAAAAAAGTGTGATGAAGAAATTAGTCAGATTTTCCTGGAGTTAGGTACTCAAATGTGGTTTACTCACTTAAAGTTTATGACAATGCATGTTAATATTTTCAGGATAATTAGTTTGATGATTGATAAACTGTCCAAGGTTTATTTAAGGGTCAATCAAATATACCATCTAGATCATACTTCTATCCTCAGTTACAAGTGTATATCAATTAGGAAAGAAAAAACCTCACAGAAAAGCTTCCTCTGCATTTATACGTGATATCTTGAAGCCTTTCTGCGAATTTTAAAGCAGTTAACAAATAATGTGCTCCTTCAGCACCATTTATTAGGTATCTTTAAAAATTAGTAATAGAAGTTTAATTATTCTATTCTGTTTATTATCTAATATCATGTAACTAATGTGCTTTGAAAGCGAACGGGCCGAAGGTTCAATGTAAAAATGCATTGAGTAGACAAGGAAAAATTTCGCCCAGTTATGGTACATAATTGTATATTTTATTGATTGCATTTAGTGCTTTGAGAACAAATCTAGTCGTCCCTTAGAATTGAAAGGGGCCCCATTTTCTTCACATTGAAGTTTCTTCATTTTACAGGCATTAAATCCAGTACCTGGGAAGAGAGAAATATTTAATGGAATTAACAGCAAGGTGGTAAATACTGCCACAGTTTTTAAAAATTGGAATTGATTCATATCAGAAATAAATTACCACAAGGCTTTTTTCTAGCAAGGGATGGATTCTACAAAATGTGGATTATCACTGAGTTTGAGAAAAAAATACCCTCCTCATCAAAATTGATGTATGTGGGCATTTTCTCTCCTGGAAAAAATTAATTCTGATCAAAGAATCATGACACGATTGTAGTGTGGACATTAAAATACGGCCGATGAGTTATTTTCTAAAATAGTCTCTCACTTTTTTCGGTCGAATTGATCTGAAAAAGTTTTGAGGCATTCTTTTCAATACTCAATATCACATTCATTCAAAGGTAAACACATGTTTGAATAAGAAAATTATTGATAGTCCGTTAAAGAACTTTCAATCCCCATCCCTCGTTTTTTATTTCTCTCTTCTATCTGAGTAAGATCTTTACTAGAAATTAAGTGCTTTTAATACAAAGTCTCTTGTAATCGTCAGTGTTTTCATTAACTGCCATGAGTACTAGAATGCAAGTTCTGAAAAAAATTCTGGATGGTTAATTTTATATTTTTAATTACGTGAGGTACCGCAATTTTTATTTCATCCCTTTTGAAACAACTAGCTGAGTACCTCACCAAATTTATAATTTGGACCTATTTTTTTAAATATTTTACATAAAAACCCAAGTAGGCACTCGTTTGGCGCTTCCATGTAAAGATTTCAACAAACACTTCCGACTCTTGGCTTAATGCGAACCAATTTTAGGTTCGATTTCTCAAAAAAATTTACATAGAAAACTTGTATTAGCATGTGAATTAATTGTGAAGTTATTTTTTTCAAACTTTTCATTTGAAGAATAAAGAATTTTGTGTTGAACTAAACCTTACTTTCTGTGAAAAATGTTTTCTAATATAATCTTCGAAATCATTAAATAAATAAGTAATGATCATGTGCACAAGAGGATTGTGAGCCCTCTCAAAATTTCTCCTAAAAAGTAGGGAGTGCAAAGGAAACAAACAAGTTTTTGTTCTGATTTTATATTTTGCTTTTTCTTTTTTTATTTCTTTTTTTTTAATAAGAGTAAAGTCTTAGTTAACACAAATTACAGAGGACAAAAACTGAAAAATAAAAACACGTAACTAATGCTTTTGAATTATGGGTAGAAACTACGTGGAATTACAACATGCCAGCAAGCAGCAAACTAAAGTAACTCAGTCTTGCATTCACCTCCATATTGAGTGTGGCTAGGATGCAATACCAGATGCAACAAAATTCTGTTTGGGAATAACCTTCAATGAGATCTGATTAGGGATCTTTTCTTTCATCCCCTCTTGCATTATCTACATTTTTCGGGGAGGGAGGAGGGGGTTGAAAGTGAGAGGAACACTAAGAGGTGTACAAATGGAATCATTTGCAGGGGCAAAAGTCATTCTGTTCCAGTTCCAGGCACCGATTTTGTTGATAGGTAAACATTTGTCCACAATGAAATTAACCTTCTTACACTTTTTCAAACATATTTCTGTACATTACAGCACATCCCACACTTTGGGGAGCTCCTGTTTTACTTTTGAAGTATGAAGGTGTAATGATTTTTCCCAGATGTTTGGAAAACCTCGCAAGTGCCCTTTCACCTATCAACTTCACTCCAGCTCGGTAAAAGAGTAAAAAATATTCTTAGAATCTATGCGTTGGAGCTTTGTTAAAATGTATTAGACACTCAAATAGGTAAGATTAGTTTCCACCCCTCTTTCTCCAATTCAATTCAGATGTTTGTGGGACAAGCATTTTTTGCATGATGTCAAATCTAGAGCTCTTGAATTTTAAGCTGTTTCCAGCAGCAAGTAATCAAATTCTTAGCTTAGTGCACATCATTTTTTTTACCGAGGTATCCAAAAATGAAACTTAGTTCTTTTTTTTTAAAAAACTTTGACTTGATAACCTCCGCAGAAAGCTCATGCACCATATCTATGATTTGCCTCAGTATAGATTCAATTTCCTCAAGATTAATTTTGTAATAATTATCTCTAAATTTCCTTCAGAAAATAAATTGCCTATATGTAAATATTAAACTGGCTCTTCAGAAGCAACAAATCAATCATAATACCGACATAAGAAAATGAATTGGACTTCTTGACGAAATCTTCTATTAGATGCCATTAAGTTAATTATTCATATCAGCTTTTTGAAAACTGCACCGTTTCTGTGGCTTTCATATGTTTCTTTCAATACTATTTATAGAGATATACATATTTAGTATACTTAATGACATCCTATCATTATTTTTTTTTTTTTTTTTTTTTTTGGCAAGAGATGTGTTCGAGAAAACAATTACGAGAAAAATCCTATCGCTTTAACCCACGTTTTGTCCCTAGGACTTCATATTACTGCCAGTTACATGAAACATTTTGATACAGCTGTCTCTCGAAACGCTCCTCAAATCAAATCCTTTTAAGAGAGATAAGCTAATATACATCAAGTTAATTAATAATATTTACTACAGAGATATTAAAAACAATTAAATGTAGATAGTTTTAATTCAAAAATATTACTAACACTGATGACTTTGCTGTTCTCAGCTAAGCCTCAAAAGAAGAGTTCCTTAAAAATTTAATATTTTATGACCTACTGTTGTTGTGTTTAAATCTCTGGAATATTTCAATTGGATCGCATCAGAAACGAACAAATCAATTTATAAAACAACGGAAAAAACAAAGGATTGTAGAGGGAGTTTTGTCCAAGGCTTCAAGAAAACGTTTAAGGATACGAGAGGACCAATAATTCAACTCGCAAGTAAGGAGAGGAGGGGGTCTGAAAAATTAAAGAAGTAGTCTGTATTTTGAAGAAATACTTTTTCAATGAATTCTTAATTTTCCATCTCAGAATCATCCAAAAATTAGATACACAGCTTTAAAAACAATGGTGGCCTATGATTATTAGATCCACATTAGCATTAAAAATAAAAAATATTTGAAAAAACATCCACTACATTAATGAATTTAATTTCAGAATATTTCAGCCTGAAAGTGAAAAATTATTTCACAAAAATATAGAGAACTTTTCAATTTGCTGGTTCAGCAGGAGGTAAATTTATTCAAAAACAATGTACTCACCCCTGAAATTAAAATACCAAACTGCTTTCACATTTTTGAGAAAAATTGAAGCATCAAATGACTAGCAAAACTTTGAAAGCATGTAAATATAGAAGAGGTAGTACCCTTAGAAGCAACTCTATGATTTGGAGCAAAGCTATTAAAGTTATGGCTTTGTGTTTGCAAGGTTGTACTGTTGTTTTAATGGAGACGAGGGATACATTGATCTGTATTAGAACAAAGTTCCAAGTATTTGTTAAATTGAAGAGAAGAAAAGAGGTTCTGTTATTCAGAACAAGGATTATAATGTCCCCTAATTCAAATGTATGTTAATTTGTTGAATAGTCATGGTCACATGGTCACATAACATGGTAACTGAAGCAAAGCTAAGAAAAACTAAAAAAATCAAATTGTGTGTACTTTAGTCAGCGGCCACTTATTTATTTCGGCATGTTAAGCCAAAAATGACCAACCCACCATATTTATAAGAGACCTAACCAATTTACAGTGATTGGCTCAAATCACATTGTAAAATCTACAGTAACATAAGTAATGAAATTGGGCATAATCAAGATAAAATTACTTTCTTTTTTTAGTGATTCATTGTCTCGAAAAGAAATTCCGCTTTCATGCGTTACGTCAGAGTTTGTAGTTATAGGTACCCCTGTTGAGCTGGGCTTAAATATTGTGCACGAGGAATGAAAAAATGTAGTGGAGCAAGCTAAAAGTAAGTTTAATTGAAGCATTAAGGTACACAATTTTCTAAACTTATAGCTGTTTCAAAACGGAAAAAATGATGAGAATGATCCACAAGCTTTCCATACCCTACCTCATTATTTTTTTGGAACCTTTATTTGGATTATATTTCGCAATTCGGAACTAAAATTTCTGGCTCAGTTTGGAAATAACATATGCACCATTAATTCCTTTATGTACATAGGCGTTTTACAGATGAGCCAGAAATTGTAGTTCCTGATTGCTAAATGAAGTCCATTTTAACATTTGCTTCGGGAGGGATTGAAAAGTAAGACCAGAAGCACTTTAAACCTTTCTCTATTTAGTGGCTAACTTTTTTTTGTCTCGTGGCGAGAATAATTAAATCAGCTATTGACTGGAGAACGGCAAAGAAAGATATAACCTGAGCATTTCGCTTTTTTCTTTTAAAAACAGTAATTCACCCGATCACATCCAAACTTCATAGCTCATCGTGCAACGTGTGTTGCCGCAGCAATATTTGAAGGAGTTCCCAAGAAATCACGTCGAAATGCCCGGGTCTCTAGAAATTGGCGGGTTAGCGAAAGACCGATCTGAATGATGATGATTTTAGCGTTGTTTGTGCGGTTCCTCGATAGTGTGCTTTGGTTCCATTCGGAACGGTGGATGGCGGTAGAGTTTAGTTTGTTTGGAATACTGGAAGCTCCAATTTCATCACAAGCGAGAGTTTGAATGTAGGTTTGTGCGATTTAAGCGTTCCTGGAAACAAACCAACAGGAAGTTAATAAATTTGACGGGCGCAACAAACAGTCTTTGAGTGAAACGATTCACGAAAACATTGTTGCAATCATGCTTTAATGTTTCAACAAACTACCATTCAAGATAATAATGCTGGAACCCTGTGCTCTAAGATGGACATATGTATTAGACCTCAAAAGTTTGCGTTTGATAGCACATGCAGATATTGCCTTCTTGCAAAGGACCATGCTCGGAAAGTCAATTAGGATATCCCGCTTTGGTTAAATTTCGTTAGTATCCGATTTGGTGTTCTTTACGACCTCTTGAGCATGATGAGAGGGTAAAACCGAAATTTTACTGTTCCGATTTCGAGAGAAAGCGGGGCTGAGAAGTGAAGTTTGCGGCATATTTATTCGCGTTTGCTTGTAGAGCCTTTGCACTGCTGCTGCTTTGTCCGATATTGTCACCTTCTGGCCAAAGTAAAGTAAACGCCGTGCGACGTTTAAAAATTTCGGCCGCCATTTTTTTTAACTGGGAAATTGTTCAACGAAGCTGTCCGAAAATTTCACTGAATTTTCTCTATACTGCCGAAAAAAATCAGTGAAACAGAACATTTTTTTCAAACAAAAATTTTCAAACAGATTTGACTAACAATTCCTCATTAAAAAATAAAATGACAGCAGAAAATTTTGAAACGCATCATGGCGCTTGTGATACTTGGGCTGGAAGGTGGCAATATATGGAACCTTTCCTTCTAAAGCAGTGTGTCTCTTCTTCTTGGTTGGAGCAAACTGAGGAAAAAACACTCCTCGTAGGATTCTCCTTGTACACTCCATGTACTGAATTATCTATTAATAACAAATAATAAAATTAGGTTAACTAATTTGATATTTTTTTACTCTTATGATCTCTAGACGTTTTGAGATTTATGGTCCACACACCCTTTTTTACAATCTCAGTCCTGCTCATCCATTTCCTGCTTTTCTAATTTTAGTAAAGCACTTACTTTAGTACTCAATTTAGTAAAAGCACAAAATATAGAAGAAAAAATTAAAGAGCTTTGAGAATTATTAAATTTGACCCGGAATCACCTAAATATTTACAGAGCACTCATTATATTTTCCTTTAGTGCTTATTTTTTTTTCTTTTTGTTTTCATCACTTTAAATAAGAATAATCCATACAGAGTGATCAAACATTTCAAAATCATGAGTTGAAAAACGCTGACTCCGCATGTTTAAATGTTAGAGCCAAACACAGAGCGGAGCGGCGCGGCGCGCGGGCGTGTTGCCAGCGCAGCGCGACATGCGCACCAGCGCCTACAAACCTAACAGGGATACTTCACGCATTGCGCAATGCGTGAGGTATCCCTGTTAGGTTTGAAGGCGCCAATGAGCATGTCGCGCTGGTCGTCCTCGCCGCCACGCGCCGCGGCGTGCCACGGCCGGCGCCTCGAGCAATTATTTCGCAACAAAGTTGTTGCACAGAATTATACAAAATTGAAGGCACTCCAACGTTCAAGAATGACAGGTATCCTTCAAGTGTGCGGAGCTTTCCTCGCAAAATAAATCAAGATACTTTAGCACAAAAAGAGAGCGGTAGTCCAAAAACTCACCAAGTCCTAGCATCCGTAATTAATGATGTTTAGCATATTTTTTATACTTCATTATTAAAAAAAGTGACTCCATTTAGGCAGAAACATTCCTTGAGTGTGCCGTCAAGTAGATTTTATTTTGAATTTTGAAACAAGAATAAAACAGTTGAATGAAAGCGGGTTTCTGCTTAATATAAGTTACTTTTATTTTTATATAAGCACCCTTTCCTCTTCAAACAAGCATTATTTTCTAAATTGATTCATAAGGAAATCTTATCAGCGGTTTTGAGCATTTTTCTGCTTGTATCAAATAAATTTTTCCTGTAATGAAGTTATAAACTCATGCTAAACGTTATTGAACACAGATACTAGGACTTGGTAAGTTTTTCGACTACCGCTCTCTTTTTGTCGTCGTCATTTGATTTAATTTGCGAAGGAACTTCGTGAAAGAACTTCTTTTGAAAGATGCCATCGATCATGGTCATGGATCACGTTGGGGTACTTCCAATCTCGTATGCTACTGTGAAACACCTCCGTGGCGAAATAGTAGCTCGAAGCGCCGCGGCACGCCGACGCCGTCGCGAAGTTATTGTACACAGGAAAAGTCAAAGAGCCTTTAGCTGCGGCAAATCAAGAGGTTTATCCGGTACAGGTGTAACAAGGTGGGATTTTCTTGAAAGACAATTAAGTCCTCTTGCACGAAAGAGTTGTAGAGAGTTTAAGTGAATTTTCTCCCACGGAATCGACGCCCCCTCCCCCCCCATTTTTACCAAAAATTCCAATCATATATTTTTCTCCGTTGGCTCAAACGAACAAAAAAAAAAACAAGCAAACCCTCATTCTTACTATATATATTTCTATACTTCAGCACCCTTTGATAGCTTTCCTGGTGGCAACGGCTGTTAAAAAAATGCTTAAAAAAAACAAGTAAATTTTAAAAAAAAAACAATTCTGAATGAAATTGTTGAAATTTATGTTTTAGAAAATCCTTTCTGGGTGCGTTTTGAGTAAGTAACATTTACCACCGATGAAACTTGAATAAAATAAAAGTTTAAAAAAACTCTTACAAGATCTATCGTAGTTTACAACTGCAAATAGATTATTAAGAAAAACTACCAAAGAAAATTGTAGCGTTTAATTAAAGACATATTTGTTAAACATTTCTAAACTTCAATTTGACTTTAAAAAATTACCAGAGGGTTTCTTTAAACCTAATTTTCATCGAATTTTAGGAGTTTTTGAAAGATACTTTTGAATGGTCGTTGTTAGTCTAGGTCTCAATCGCTAAAGTCAATCTACCCCTCTCTTCCCGTACAGCCACAGCCTCACGACAGTACCACGCTAAAAAAGTAACGAAAATCGTATCCGACACGTGTCGCGCGCCCAGATAATCCAATAACGCCAGTGACGCTCCTGGTGCGCATTCGCAAGATTTTTTCGAATTTTTCCAGTCTGGCAGATGCGGTAGAAGCGAATTTCCCTACAATAATTGGCAATGCCCTTCGGCAGGCGTTTGAATATCGACTCGTCTCTTTGATTGTTCTCGGCGAAACGAGGCTTCAGGCTTAAATGAAATTTCAACCTTTTAAAACTTCGCGCGACGGATTTCAACCCCCCCTCCCTTTCCGTCGCCCTTTGATTGAGAGCCCTTGATGGTGGGATCTAAGTATTTTCGCGGAAAGTTCCACTGCTGTAGCATTATCAACGCTCATCGAGCTGGCTCCGCAGGAGTCCTTGGAAATTTAAGGGTGGCGGATTAATTGGTGGCTGCACTCGGTAAAGTACAAAAGCGAATTTATTGGAGGTGAAACTGAAAAAACCTATAGACGTGGTTTCCTCAAAAACTCGTATCTCGGTATGAGACAATGCAAATTTCTAGTCCCATTTTCTTCATTTAAAAAAGAAAATAAAAGAAAAGAAAAAAAATAAAAATAAAAAAATACGCATAAGAGTAGTGTACGTCATATACTCGATGAATGAATCAGATGAATTTTGAGGGAAATAAAAATTGCAAGTCAACGCCCTGGTACTAGGTAATTCAGGGTGCAAAATCAGTTTCGCGTGGTCCCAAACCTCCCCGCAGCTTTCCAAAACGAGGAACGGCTGTTTTTGACCGTTTTTGAAAGCTCAAGAAAATTGCGTTTTGCGCCGATAACGCAGTCCAGCGGACTCCTAAAGCTTTTCCGAACAAAAAATCGAACTCATCGAGATCATTTCCGATGAGACTAGTTTGATTTCAGCCCGATTGGCGAACTTCCGATTTTGACCCCGAAAATTTAGTCCATGTAACCCCTGTCGATACTCCTCAATTTTAGTCAGCAGACGATTTTCGGGATAAGTGTCGAATCCTACGTGGTTCGAGGTGTAGAATCTATTTTGCAAGGACTCAAGGCTCGACGAGGCGTCAAAAAAGAATGTTTCTGGCCGTTGTGAGCATGCTCGAATAGCCACGATTATTAGCGATTATCAGGACAGGTCGACTCGTGCAGCTATTCCGACCGGGAAATCGGACTCGTGGCATCATTTCCGAGGGTACTAGTTTCTTTTCAGTCCGATTGGAGAGCTTTCGATTTTGACCCCAAAAATTTAGTCTGTGCGCACAAACAGTTCGAAGTTCCTTCGCAAATTACATCAAATGACGACGACGAAAAGAGAGCGGTATAGTCGAAAAACTTCTTAAGTCCTAGTATCTGTATTCAATAACGTTTAGCATGAGTTTACAACTTCATCACAGGAAAAAGTTATTTGATTCAAGCAGAAAAATGCTCAAATTTACTGCTGAGAAGATTTCCTTATGAATCAATTAAGAAAATAATGCTTGTTTGAAGAGGAAAGGGTGCTTATATGAAAAGAAAAGTAACTTATATTAAACAGAAACCCGCTTTCATTCAGCTGTTTTATTCTTGATTCAAAATTCAAAATACAATCTTCTTAACGGCATACTCAAAAATGTTTCTGCCTAAAAGGAGTCACTTTTTTCTGTAATGAAGCATAAAAAAAATGCTAAACATTATTATTTACGGATGCTAGGACTTAGTGAGTTTTTGGATAATCTCTTTTCGTGCTGAAGTATCTTGATTTATTTTGCGAGCAAGCTCCGCACACTTGAAGGATACCTGCCATTCTTGAACGTAGGAATGCCTTCAATTTCGTATAATACTGTGCAACAACTTTGTTGCGAAATAATTGCTCGAAGCTCTGGCCGTGGCATGTCGCGGCGCGTGGCGGGCGAGGACGACCAGCGCGACATGCTCATTGGCGCCTTCAAACCTAACAGGGATACCTCACGCATTGCGCAATGCGTGAAGTATCCCTGTTAGGTTTGTAGGCGCTAGTGCGCATGTCGCGCTGGCAGCACGCCCGCGCGCCGCTCCGCTCTGTGTTTGGCTCTAACATTTAAACTCGCGGAGTCAGCGTTTTTCAACTCATGATTTTGAAATGTTTGACCACTTATCCGGGTATTTCCTGACCGTGGCAACCCTGCGATTCAGTAATAGAGTACACAGAGTCGTATTGTAATTGGAGAGCTGGTGCTACTTTTAAGCCTTTTCCAGATCCCAAATGCCGAGACTCGTATGTCACGCCGGGTCACTTCTTCGATACATAATCGATTGTTTACGATACATCCGGCCATCCGATTCTGCATCGCCATTTTGGATCGAATACGTATCGAAAAAGTGACCGAAATGCACGGCGCACACCAGTCTCGTCGACCAAAACATGGCGTCAGCTCTCCCATTTGGACTGCATTTTGCAATTTAGAACTATAAAGTCTGGCCTCTGGCTCATCTGAAAAAACACTTGTGTGCATAGGGACACCAATGGCACATACGTTGTTTTTAAACCGGGCTAGAATTTATAGTTCCTAATTGCAAAATGTAGTCCATTTACATTACGACTCACTCTTTGAATCCAGTGCACAGTGACTCTAATATGCTGTAATCTTACTCTGCGTAATTGTAGGTATGCCTGTTCCACCTATCGGAGTGGGCGCTGTGGTTCTCGGTGTCCGGGCGTTGGTTGGCGCGGTGCTCCTTGGGCGCGGGGCCGGGGTCTCGTCTCCGTTCGGGCGCCAGCGACCTCTTGCCGATCGTCTTGAGGAGCTCCCGGTTGGCCTGGATCTGGTCCTCCGACTGGCGCATGCGCCGCCTCGCGATCTCCAGGAGCAGCCGCTGACGCAGCACCTCCAGCGGGTTCACGATCGACAGCGACGGTCCGTTCCCCGTCAGCCCGTTCCGCCCGTTCCGCTTCGATTTCAACTCTCCCTCCTTATCCTGAAACAACAAATAACCATTAAAGGAGCCAACATAAAAAGAGATCATCAGAGACAAGAGACTCTCCACTGGCCTCCTAGCGACAGGTGGAAGCTTTTACTTTCGGGGTTTCAACAATTCCTTATGGACAATTATTAGGGAGCAACAGTTATCACCCTAGTTTCGGCTGTTGACTTACCTACATGGTCGATGATGAGCTTCGGATGACGTCCTGAGCCAAACAACTTTCTCAAACGTCGGCAATGCGTGAAGTATCCCTGTTAGGTTTGTAAGCGCCAGTGCGCATGTCGCGCTGGCAGCACGCTCGCGCGCCGCTCCGCTCTGTGTTTGGCTCTAACGTTCAAACTCGCGGAGTCAGCGTTTTTCAACTCATAATTTGGAACTGTTTGACCACTCTGCATGGATTATTCTTATTTAAATTGATGAGGGAAAAAATGCATTGAAGAAAAATATAATGAGTGTTCTGTAAAAATAAAAGTGGTTTTGTGTCAACTTTAATGACTTTCAAAGCACTTTAATTTTTTCTTTTATGTTTTTTGCTTTTACTGTGCTACAGTTTGGTGTGTGCGCAAATAAACGATTAAAATTGCATGTATTTGACTCTAAGAGATCGATGTACAAATGGGTTTCACAAACTTTTCTCGAAAACACATGTTTTATCTAAGGAAATTTGATAACTCTCAAATGTTCATACAGCGCTCTTCCTTAGTACGACAGTATGGATCTTTGAAGTTTTCGGATCGCGCGTCCGAAAACTTGAGGTCCAGCTGCCGAAGTTCGGATTAGACATTTGAAATAGTGCTTCCGTCCTTTGATTGGCGCTTGAAAAGTTTCAATCGAGGAACCGAAGCACTTCCGATATGAACCCAGATTTCAGCAACCGGGCCTCAAATTTTCAGATACTTGATCCGAAAACTACAAAGATCCATATGGACTGAACTTCGAGTCTTATGCATGAAGTTTTGTTCCCCGTGTGCACTTTTCCGGTGCTTTTGACTCCCCCCTCCCCCTCGCAATGCTTCGTAATGCGAATTCGGACCCACTGTTAATAATGGACCACTAGACAGGGTACGACTTATCTTTTTAATAACGTCAGCATATTTTTTTTGGGGGAGGGTGAGCTTCCACTAACATCCTCTCTGCAACCATAACCTTACCACATGAGCTCCCTGCAAAGAATCGAATATATGTGTACTTCTTTCATTTGTTATCCCTACTGTTTGGTTGGCAAATTCTAGGGTCAACTCTGTGAGAAATAAAATTAATAAAGTAATTATTTAATATGCTGTGACCTACTTGTGATTCCCTCTCGGAGAGAATGTAGAGGTTGGGATCTGAGACGTGTTTCCAGAGCCCATTGGGGGGCTGTGGATCGAACGGCGCGAAGTGGTGGCTCAGCTTGGGCAGGAGGTACGGGGAGCTCTCGATGTCCGGGGGCACAGCGTCGATCTGTTCAACCTCTTCTTCGAGGCCCCTGTAGTAGCCTGCGGCTCCGCCAGAGAGCATCAGCATCACTGTTCCTATGCATACCACTTTTAGAAGTTCCGCCATTTGAAACTTGAGCATAAACCACCTGGAATCAGAAAAAAGGTATCTCAGTCGACAGGGCAAAGTATGCCATTCGAAAATAGATTTTTTTTTGTTAGAGAATGCATGCTTATTTTAAATGACATAATATTCGACGTCATGTCTGGACAGCGGGTCTGATGTAATTATTTTAACAGGATGCCGGGAGAAAGGCTCTCAACGAAGATATTTGATTCCTCCCCTACGAGGAGACGAAGGGGACGTTGGCAATTTTACTATAGAACTGTTGGAGTGCCAAGTCCCTGAAGGGTTGTGGAAGGATGAGGCCTTGTGACCGTTTGGCGTCGTGGAGCGCCAAATGGTAGTGCTGTGAAAGTAGCTTTCATGTATGCTTATTTATCTTTGATAAACTATTCATTTTAATCACAAATCACAATTTAATCTTAAGTGTCTGAATGTTTCTAAGAAAAATATGCATAACTTTCGCAGGTAATGAACATTATGTCATGAGACCTTTGGCAACATCCGTATGTTCATGCGACGTTTCGCCTTAGCATGGCATAGAAGCTTCGAAAAGGACACAGAGTTTGAAGGAAAATAGTCAGAAGACGGCTGAATGTAAATAACCACTCAAGATCAAAAGAATGAATGACTGGTGGGCAACAGCGCTGCTGAGGTTTCAAAAAAGAGAGGATTTCACCACATCTCTCGGTGACCGATCTTAGTCTCTTCCTGAAAATCTCATTTCCATCGGCTTAATTATACGCGTATCAGCTTTTTCATAGCTACCTTTCTTCGACCTTTGATCTACTGTTAATTACTCTGGAGAGAGTTTTTTCTATTTGTTTTCAGCCGAAGAGCAAACGGTCACAGTTGCTTCGACCCGACATGTTTAAAATGCGGACTCAACTGATTCTTTTTCCTCTGAGTCTCAAAGCCTTTCGCTATTTTTTTCTTCTTCTTCTGAGAGGGAAAAACCCAACAAAGAAAAATGTGCTTACCATTTTACCCGACTGTCATCTAAAATGTGTCTATTGCTGCAAGCTTTGAAAGGTTTAAGGTAGGCCTCTACCTATCTCACCCTTGTAATTTTTTGTAATGGCAAATAATTATAATCCCTCGTAGGAATCTATTTCCAGAGATAAATTGTTGAATTTTATTCGAGTTTTGTTATAGTTGTCCTTTTTATGATGTTTCACTGAAGCCGGTTTTAGACATCCCTTAATTATAACATGAACCACTCGGTGTCTCTCTAAGGAAAGAAGCTGTTCATGGCATCATAGATAAAAAAAGGAGGTGTTTGCATTTCGGGCATCTTGGATTTTATTGATGACGTAGGTCGGTACGGACGATTTTTACCATCGATTTTCCTGGGAATGGTGAAGTTTCTGGAAAAAAGTAATTTATGTAAAGTGTTTGAAATTATATCATGAGTTGATTTAAGCTAAAAATTTGGACGTTATGGTCCATTTTTCATACTTCGCATTCCGGATTTTGCTAGATGTACCGGTACCTGATGTACCGACCTACGTCACGGGGTGAAAAATCCTCAAGATGCAAACACCTCCTTATTTCCTCTAGGATTTATGGAACAACTATGAATACAGTCCTAATTTTCTAATTGTAAGATTTTACAGTGCCTATATAAAGCCAGAAACAATTTTAACTTGACCCGGTGACTCGGCGGGCGCACGGCCGATCAGCGTCTTGATATTAGATTAGTCAAATTTATAACGAAGTTCCAATTTTATCAACCGAAAATGAGAAGAAAATTATTTTCGGTTGAGAATCGATGGAGAGAAGCAAGCGCCAGAGGCCGGAAAGAGAGGCGCGATGCGCAGTGACAATAAAAGTAATTTATAGCGACACCTATCCAGGGGACTCCATTTATCAAAATCGGGGAGACTGGATCTGGTTCCTCCACGTGACTGCCCGCAACAGATAATTTTTTTTCATCAGGAGCTCCGAAGGGAAGTCCTCGCGAAGGTCGACACCGCGGTTCCATGTGGGGTGAGGTCAGCGAGGGATGTGATAGTGGTCGAGCACGGAATCGGAATGCTCGCTCCACCATTTTAATTTTTATTTATTTATTTTTTTTTTTCAAATACAGACATTTTATTCACTACGCTAGATGCCATGCAGTATTGAGTCATTACAGAGATTAATCTCAGGTTCATTGCAAGTGCTCCTATTTATATCGTCTGGAAAAGTCAGCATCATGCGTTGAAGAATCGTGTTTCCACGGTTAAATCCATAGAGTACATAGAGTCGTAATGTAAATGGGAGAGCTGGCGCCTTGTTCTGCTCGACGAGTTCCGAGCCCGGTGTGCGCCGAGTTCGGGTCACTTTTTCGATACATGTTCGATCCAAAATGGTGGTATAGAATACGTGGTGATTCCTATCTTCTTTGTTAACATCAGATGGTCGGGTACCCGTGTATTGCAAACAATCGATTTTGTATCGAAAAAGTGACCCGGCGTCACACAGGAGTATCGGAATTCGGAACCTGGAAAATGCTTAATAGTGGCGCCAGCTCACCCACTTACATTACGACTCTATGTACTCTATGGTTAAATTTCACAGAACGCCCAACTCGAAGTGATAAAATCGCTGCAAATGTCAAAGCATTTCGATAGCCAAAGTGCGAAACCACGTATGTTCAATCTGTTTAATGTGCCGGCGATATCTTCCGGCAGTCATGAATTCCGACGGGTGCGGCATAAGTATTCGTGGCGCAGCGCCGAAAATATGGATCGTATTCGATACATCAAACAGGCGGGATCGTATCGATATCGATTCGTTCAACATGTAAACGTAGCCTCAAAAGCCAAGTTAAATATCTGAGGGAACGGGTTTTTCGTGATAGATTTTTTATTCTTTTGAGTACCAAATGGCGATAAAAAGTGAAATTGTCAGTAATTTTCTCATAATCAGCTTTTCCAACTTAAATCCCAGAATTTTAGTTTAAGGTTCTGTTCTCTTGTTTGAACACCAAACGATACATTGATTCACTATCAAATACGATCCATACATGGTATTCGATAGTGGTTCGATGTATCGTTTGGTTCAAAACAAAAGCACATAACCTCAAAGGACAATTTAAGGATTTAAGTAGGAAAAGCTGAAAGTGAAAAAATTCCCATTAAGCTCACTTTTCATTGCCATTTTGTACTCATAAGATTTACAAATCTATCACAAAAACTCGTTCCCCTCAGATTGTTAAATGGACTTTTGTAGGGCCGGATTAAGGGGGTGGCCATATGGGCCGCGGCCCAAGGCGGCAAAATGTAAGGGGCGGCAAATTTTGCAATCTTTTTGAATGTAGGTATCAAAAAAAGAGAGAGAAAAATCGGATTCAGAAAATAAATTACAAACGAGAAAAAGCGACAAAATCTCTCATTTCTTGAGAGTGAAAGTATAGTAATTTCTAATTTTGTCTTCTTTCGGTGAGTCGAAATAATTACTCGAGTTAAGCGAGAAACCAAACACGCAATTTGACCTGGAACGGAGCGGTGCGGCGGTCGGCATGAAACGCATAGCGCCTACAAGACTGCATGAATATTTCACGCATTGCGCCAAACAGTATGGTCAGCAGCGGTTGGCGTGAAACGCATAGCGCTTACAAGACTGCATGAGTACTTCACGCATTGCGCCAACACAGTGCGGTCAGGCAGCGGCGGAAGTTAAAATTATTAACCACGTTTATGTTTGTTCTTTCATAATTTTTTCGTTCGTTTTTTATAAATGGAAAGCCTTGTCCAAACAGGGATGGATTTACGGAACTGAATTTTTGTTAATGTTGACAGGGCTTTCACAAAAAATGTAGCCAACGAGATTATATTGATATCGATTGGTTCAATATGTAACCACAGCCTCAAAAGTCAATTTAGAAATCTGAGTTAACGGGTCTTATGCGATTGAATTATTATTCTCTCGAGCACAAAATGGCAATGAAAAGTGAAATTGTTAGGAATTTTTTCATTTTCAGCTTTTCCGAATTAAATCCTAAAACTTTTGTTTGAGATTATGTTCTACTGTTTTGAACCAAACGATACATCGAACCACTGTCGAATACGATCTACTGATGTTTCAAAACGAATGAGAAGGGGGCGGAAAAATACAGGCGGCCCATGGGCGGCAAGGAGGTAAAGCCGGCCCTAGACTTTTGAGGCTATGTTTACATGCTGAACCAATCGATATCGATAGAATCTCACCTGTTTGATGTATCGAATACGATCCATTGGCGAGGCAAGCGCCGAGACGGAAGTTACGACGGAAAAATAATGGCATCTGGTAATTGATCAGGGCGGTGGAAGAAGCGGAAATTGAATTGCCCTCACCTGACGCCCGGCTTCCTTTTGTGAGGCTCACGCTCTCCTAGGCACTTTCACGGGAGGCATAGCAAATGCGTGTCACGTACCGTGAGCAATGCCAAATGCACCGCTGCCGTGGGAAAATAATTCGGTTATAGCTTGTGATTCCCTCTCGATCCCTCTTGAGGACTCGGTTTCAACTAAAGTTCCGTTCCTCGAAGTTTAGTTATGATTGCGCAGTTAGTATTTCAGGGCGGAACGTTCGGTCTCCTCAAGGTCACTGAAGAGGCTCTTCGAATTTAAATATTTCACTGTGCAGCGGGCTGATTATTGAAATTGATAGACGAAGCGATAGACAGAGAAGAAATGAAGGCCTTGACGAACAAGGCGCATAAGTGCAGATTTTGCCATTTTGAGAAATGTACGTGTTTGAAGTTTCGAAATTATATGGATCCTTATGGTGGAAAGAAAGTTCAAATTGACTTTTTGATGCTTAAAAATTGGAATTTATGAGCGAATTTTTCACAGTAGATGCATTAAAATTAGTTTTACTAGGATTTATTAATATCTCAATTTTTTCAAAAACTGCACTTTTACGCCTTGTCCTTCAAGCCCCTCAAATGAGAAGTATGGAGCTATCCAATTGGTCAAAATGGGTGGTTCCTGTAGATTAAGGGAGAAAATGATGAACTACGGTTTTCTCGTGGGTTTTTGTCAGTTAGTCTATTACTTA